CCCTACTCCTTGTAGAATCTCACTATGGACTGTCATTATTCCCCACTACTTATAGAATCTCACTACGGACTGTCATTGTTCCCTACTACTTGTAGAATCTCACTACGGACTGTCATTGTTCCCCACTACTTATAGAATCTCACTACGGACTATCATTGTTCCCTACTCCTTGTAGAATCTCACTACGGACTGTCATTGTTCCCTACTCCTTGTAGAATCTCACTACGGACTGTCATTGTTCCCCACTACTTATAGAATCTCACTACAGACTGTCATTGTTCCCCACTACTTATAGAATCTCACTACGGACTGTCATTGTTCCCCACTACTTATAGAATCTCACTACAGACTGTCATTGTTCCCCACTACTTATAGAATCTCACTACAGACTGTCATTGTTCCCTACTACTTGTAGAATCTCACTACGGACTGTCATTGTTCCCCACTACTTGTAGAATCTCACTACGGACTGTCATTGTTCCCCACTACTTATAGAATCTCACTACAGACTGTCATTGTTCCCCACTACTTATAGAATCTCACTACGGACTGTCATTGTTCCCTACTACTTGTAGAATATCACTGCGGACTATCATTGTTCCCTTACTACTTGTAGAATCTCACTACGGACTGTCATTGTTCCCTACTACTTGTAGAATCTCACTACGGACTGTCATTGTTCCCTACTACTTATAGAATCTCACTACAGACTGTCATTGTTCCCTACTACTTATAGAATCTCACTACAGACTGTCATTGTTCCCCACTACTTGTAGAATCTCACTACGGACTGTCATTGTTCCCCACTACTTATAGAATCTCACTACAGACTGTCATTGTTCCCCACTACTTATAGAATCTCACTACGGACTGTCATTGTTCCCTACTACTTGTAGAATCTCACTACGGACTGTCATTGTTCCCCACTACTTATAGAATCTCACTACGGACTGTCATTGTTCCCCACTACTTATAGAATCTCACTACAGACTGTCATTGTTCCCCACTACTTATAGAATCTCACTACGGACTGTCATTGTTCCCCACTACTTATAGAATCTCACTACAGACTGTCATTGTTCCCCACTACTTATAGAATCTCACTACGGACTGTCATTGTTCCCTACTACTTGTAGAATATCACTGCGGACTATCATTGTTCCCTTACTACTTGTAGAATCTCACTACGGACTGTCATTGTTCCCTACTACTTGTAGAATCTCACTACGGACTGTCATTGTTCCCTACTACTCGTAGAATCTCACTACGGACAATCATTGTTCCCCACTACTTGTAGAATCTCACTACGGACTGTCATTGTTCCCAACTACTTGTTGAGTCTCACTACGGACTGTCATTGTTCCCTACTCCTTGTAGAATCTCACTACGGACTGTCATTGTTCCCTACTCCTTGTAGAATCTCACTAAGGACTGTCATTGTTCCCTACTACTTGTAGAATCTCACTACGGACTGTCATTGTTCCCTACTACTTGTAGAATCTCACTACGGACTGTCATTGTTCCCTACTCCTTGTAGAATCTCACTAAGGACTGTCATTGTTCCCTACTACTTGTAGAATATCACTACGGACTTTCATTGTTCCCTACTACTCGTAGAATCTCACTACGGACAATCATTGTTCCCCACTACTTGTAGAATCTCACTACGGACTGTCATTGTTCCCAACTACTTGTTGAGTCTCACTACGGACTGTCATTGTTCCCTACTCCTTGTAGAATCTCACTACGGACTGTCATTGTTCCCTACTCCTTGTAGAATCTCACTAAGGACTGTCATTGTTCCCTACTACTTGTAGAATCTCACTACGGACTGCCATTGTTCCCTACTACTTGTAGAATCTCACTACGGACTGTCATTGTTCCCTACTCCTTGTAGAATCTCACTAAGGACTGTCATTGTTCCCTACTACTTGTAGAATATCACTACGGACTGTCATTGTTCCCTACTACTTGTAGAATCTCACTACGGACTGTCATTGTTCCCCACTCATTTTAGAATCTCACTACGGACTGTCATTGTTCCCTACTCCTTGTAGAATCTTACTACGGACTGTCATTGTTCACTACTACTTGTAGAATCTCACTACGGACTATCATTGTTCCCCACTACTTGTAGAATCTCACTACGGACTATCATTGTTCCCTACTACTTGTAGAATCTCACTACGGACTGTCATTGTTCCCTACTACTTGTAGAATCTCACTACGGACTGTCATTGTTCCCCACTCCTTTTAGAATCTCACTACGGACTATCATTGTTCCCTACTCCTTGTAGAATCTCACTACGGACTGTCATTGTTCCCCACTACTTGTAGAATCTCACTACGGACTGTCATTGTTCCCTACTACTTGTAGAATCTCACTACGGACTGTCATTGTTCCCCTACTACTTGTAGAATCTCACTACGGACTGTCATTGTTCCCTACTCCTTGTAGAATCTCACTACGGACTATCATTGTTCCCCAGTACTTGTAGAATCTCACTACGGACAATCATTGTTCCCTACTCCTTGTAGAATCTCACTACGGACTGTCATTGTTCCCTACTACTTGTAGAATCTCACTACGGACTGTCATTGTTCCCCTACTACTTGTAGAATCTCACTACGGACTGTCATTGTTCCCTACTACTTGTAGAATCTCACTACGGACTGTCATTGTTCCCTACTACTTGTAGAATCTCACTACGGACTGTCATTGTTCCCTACTCCTTGTAGAATCTCACTATGGACTGTCATTATTCCCCACTACTTATAGAATCTCACTACGGACTGTCATTGTTCCCTACTCCTTGTAGAATCTCACTATGGACTGTCATTATTCCCCACTACTTATAGAATCTCACTACGGACTGTCATTGTTCCCTACTACTTGTAGAATCTCACTACGGACTGTCATTTTTCCCTACTACTTGTAGAATCTCACTACGGACTGTCATTGTTCCCTACTCCTTGTAGAATCTCACTACGGACTGTCATTGTTCCCCACTACTTGTAGAATCTCACTATGGACTATCATTGTTCCCTACTACTTGTAGAATCTCACTACGGACAATCATTGTTCCCCACTACTCGTAGAATATCACTGCGGACTATCATTGTTCCCTTACTACTTGTAGAATCTCACTACGGACTATCATTGTTCCCTACTACTTGTAGAATCTCACTACGGACTATCATTGTTCCCTACTACTTGTAGAATCTCACTACGGACTGTCATTGTTCCCCACTACTTGTAGAATCTCACTACGGACAATCATTGTTCCCCACTACTCGTAGAATATCACTGCGGACTATCATTGTTCCCTTACTACTTGTAGAATCTCACTACGGACTGTCATTGTTCCCTACTACTTGTAGAATCTCACTACGGACTGTCATTGTTCCCTACTCCTTGTAGAATCTCACTACGGACTGTCATTGTTCCCCACTACTTGTAGAATCTCACTACGGACTGTCATTGTTCCCTACTACTTGTAGAATCTCACTACGGACTGTCATTATTCCCCTACTACTTGTAGAATCTCACTACGGACTGTCATTGTTCCCTACTACTTGTAGAATCTCACTACGGACTGTCATTGTTCCCCACTACTTGTTGAGTCTCATTATGGACTATCATTGTTCCCCTACTACTTGTAGAATCTCACTACGGACTGTCATTGTTCCCTACTACTTGTAGAATCTCACTACGGACTGTCATTGTTCCCTACTACTTGTAGAATCTCACTACGGACTATCATTGTTCCCCTACTACTTATAGAATCTCACTACGGACTATCATTGTTCCCCTACTACTTATAGAATCTCACTACGGACTGTCATTGTTCCCAACTACTTGTAGAATCTCACTACGGACTGTCATTGTTCCCCACTACTTGTAGAATCTCACTACGGACAATCATTGTTCCCCAGTACTTGTAGAATATCACTACGGACAATCATTGTTCCCCACTACTTGTAGAATATCACTACGGACAATCATTGTTCCCCATTACTTGTTGAGTCTCATTATGGACTATCATTGTTCCCCTACTACTTGTAGAATATCACTACGGACAATCATTGTTCCCCACTACTTGTAGAATATCACTACGGACAATCATTGTTCCCCACTACTTGTTGAGTCTCATTATGGACTATCATTGTTCCCCTACTACTTGTAGAATCTCACTACGGACTGTCATTGTTCCCTACTACGTGTAGAATATCACTACGGACTATCATTGTTCCCCACTACTTGTTGAGTCTCATTATGGACTATCATTGTTCCCCTACTACTTGTAGAATCTCACTACGGACAATCATTGTTCCCCACTACTTGTTGAGTCTCATTATGGACTATCATTGTTCCCCTACTACTTGTAGAATATCGCTACGGACTATCATTGTTCCCCACTACTTGTAGAATCTCACTACGGGCTATCATTGATCCCCACTACTTGTAGAATATCACTACGGACAATCATTGTTCCCCACTACTTGTTGAGTCTCATTATGGACTATCATTGTTCCCCACTACTTGTAGAATATCACTGCGGACTATCATTGTTCCCTTACTACTTGTAGAATCTCACTACGGACGGCCATTGTTCCCAACTACTTGTAGAATATCACTACGGACTATCATTGTTCCCCTACTACTTGTAGAATATCACTACGGACAATCATTGTTCCCCACTACTTGTTGAATCTCACTACGGACTGTCATTGTTCCCCTACTACTTGTTGAGTCTCATTATTGACTGTCATTGTTCCCCACTACTTGTAGAATATCACTACGGGCTATCATTGTTCCCCTACTACTTGTAGAATATCACTACGGACTATCATTGTTCCCCACTACTTGTTGAGTCTCATTACGGACTGTCATTGTTCCTCACTATTTGTAGAATCTCATTATGGACAGTTGTTGTTCCCCCACTATTTGCTTAGTCTCATTACGGACTGTCATCGTTCCCCACTACTTGTGTTTGTAGGAGACGCTGTCTTCTTCCACAGCAACGTCCTGCACACCAGCAGCCCCAACGTGAGTGACAGACGCCGCTGGGTGTTCATCTCCTGCTACAACAAAGTCTCCAATAAGTCGGTCAAAAAACACCATTTCCCCTCGTGTGGAAAACTGGACATTGTAAGTAACAAGCGGCTGAGTTTATGAATTGGGTTACATATACATCCAGCAGTGACACGATCCATAGTCAGTGCCTGGTTCTAGAAGGTCACACATTCACACGTGTAATGTTCATAATCATCCACCCGTGTCACCAACGGTCGAAACACTCCCCTCGCCTCGCCTTGTAGTCTGAACTGGTGATTATTTGAGAAATAAACGACTCGTGGTCGTTGTTTATTTTTTATATGAGATATCAACAAACGTACATCCTTTCTTTTTCAGGATGTTAGTAAAAAGTACATGTTTAAAATATATTTACCCCTATTTAAATAATGATGACCCCCTGAATAAAATTTGTGAACGAGGCGTGGTTTATTTCACGATAAACCATTGTTCTATCATCACTTCATTACTGGAGAGTCGAACATACACTCGCAACTTGATGAAGCCATATACTTAGCAACGCAGATAAACGCAATGGCCGAACGATCACATCCAAAAGTGAGCGAGATATGGCAATCGGTGTTGGGAGAAAAGGTGCAGATAATCCATGTGAGAACTATGGGAATATACGGGAAATACCAAACGTAACACCCCTGTTCATAAGATGGACTTAAAGAGGGTGTACAAAATGTTGATATCTCATGTAAGAAATAAACTAATCGTCCCTAATGGTTTATTCACCCTGCAGTGTTTTATTGTACGATAAACAACTCCCATTCGTCGTTTACTAGTATTTCTAAATAACCAACTCTCGTCGCATGTGCGTGTGTTTAATGCAAAATAATTGTGAAACACCGGGTGCTAAATGCTGGTTAACGGACTATAGTAGACTAATACTTGCACGTGTGTGTTGTCCAGGTGTGTGACTCGGCCATCCGGAGCTGCACTAACGTCACGGACATGTCTGGGAAAGACTTCCTGGACCCCAATGACAATACGTTGATTAAAGCTGCGAAATAGAAGTCACACGACTAGATAGATACCCGGGTGACGTGATCCTGCAGGATACCCGGACGTGATCAGGATGATCCACTCCGTTACTCATATCGTACCCAAGACAAACTTTGTGATAACATCTTCGTTACACTGTGTTACACTGGAAATGCAAGTTTCTGTCATATGTTCTTATTTTCAGTCAAATAATATGTATTCCAGGTCTTATTCTTATAAAAAGTGCCAACGTAATTTAATTTAAAATAAATATTAACCACCTTTTGTCCTCGATGTGGTCTTCCGACTATTTTCAAATCTATGACATGAGAGCCCTCCGTGAAGGTCACGGCTCACTGAGGATCCTCAGTCTTGTCATGATGAAGGGAGATTAGGGCCTGGGTGATATTGTATCAGTGGCGTGGATAGTTGCAACAGCTGGTTTGTCCAAGCTTGGGGTAACTCTCCAGGCGTTAATCAACAGTATGCTATCAATGTGTTGTGCATGTATCTCCCAACATGGTGGATACGCCAGATATTGATCTACACGCCCGAAATTCATTTTACAGACATTTATCGTCATTGCACATCCACTATCATTTCATCAGTTCCCTTACTTTATGCCGTTAGTATATAGAATGAGGGCATTCGTCTGGTATGGTTCACCTCTTGCCCTGCTAAACTTCAACTATTTGTCCTGCAACAAGTACTCTACCTATATTGCGTTTTAGTGTGGCAAATATGAGCAACACAACTTGGCGATAAAACATGTGTATGACGATAAATAGAATTTTGTAGTAATTAATTTGATAAAAATGTGATATAACTTTAAAAAATTATTTTAAACACATTCATATATTTAAATAGTATTAAAAGAAGAATATTAATCTTCCATAGGTAGCTAGATGTTCCAGAACACAGGTGTTACCCCAGTACATAGATGCATGCCACGATGTTACTTGGGTATATATGTAGGTACCAGGTGTCACCCCAGTACATAGATGCATGCCACGATGTTACTTGGGTATACATGTAGGTACCAGGTGTCACCCCAGTACATAGATGCATGCCACGATCTTACTTGGGTATGTGTACGGCTGGGTGTGGGTGGTACAGGGGGCCAGTTGTGTACGGCTGGGTGTGGGTGGTACAGGGTGTCAGTTGTGTACGGCTGGGTGTGGGTGGTACAGGGTGTCAGTTGTATACGGCTGGGTGTGGGTGATACAGGGTGTCAGTTGTATACGGCTGGGTGTGGGTGGTACAAGGTGCCAGTTGTATACGGCTGGGTGTGGGTGGTACAGGGTGTCAGTTGTATACGGCTGGGTGTGGATGGTACAGGGTGTCAGTTGTGTACGGCTGGGTGTGGGTGGTACAAGGTGCCAGTTGTGTACGGCTGGGTGTGGGTGGTACAGGGTGTCAGTTGTATACGGCTGGGTGTGGGTGGTACAGGGTGTCAGTTGTATACGGCTGGGTGTGGGTGGTACAGGGTGTCAGTTGTATACGGCTGGTGTGGGTGGTACAAGGTGTCAGTTGTATACGGCTGGGTGTGGGTGATACAGGGTGTCAGTTGTGTACGGCTGGTGTGGGTGGTACAGGGTGTCAGTTGTGTACGGCTGGGTGGAACAGGAGTGGCAGTTCTTTATGGGTTGTGTGCGGTACAGCGTGTCGATTACATGTGTTGTGTTCGGCAGGACCCAAGGACCCTGGAAACACTCAGGGGCCAAGTTTACGCACACGGTCACCCATCCAACTCCTCATCGAGATCGACGTTGCTTAACTTCAACTGACTTGCGACCTGTGCACAGAACCACGTGCCACAAGATTATGTCACCACGGGTTTAGTCAACACTATGCTTAATGTTCCAACATCGGCTTATTCGTTTGTTAGCTTGAACATGCTAAACTCAAAAACAATGCATATTTTATCAGATTATAACATCAATTATTAGGTATCTTGAAAAATATGTCACATTCGTATTAAATAAATGTAGTGTATGATTAATGTATCCAAATGAAGTTTAAAAACTGTATAAACATACCGCTCGGCGTTCGTTACGGAAAGCTATGAACACTTAGTGGATAGTACTTCACTTACCATTCGACAATACAACAGCGTTGGCATGTAAGTAGTTGAGTCTGGGGCGGTAGGAAGGGCCGCTTCAGAAACAGATGAACATAAATTGAATGATAGTTCAAGCAGAGATGTGGGGACAATTGGCTATCCTAGATCGTATAGAAAACGCAACCTTTCAACCTTTCAAAGCAGTGAGTATGGATAAACGACGCTTATAGAACCTATAGAACCATCTAGATTATTTTAGAACACGTACACCTATGACTTGCGTGTTTAGCATTGAAAACTCGGATAGTAACGTTGTCCTGGTTTGTTTCTTACTCAGCTAACTGTTTGCAACTCTTTATGCTGCAGTTAGGAAATGTAAGGAAACAAGGTACGGCTTGGCATAGGTCATTTTAAGACAATGAGCCGCAAAAAGGATACCGTCACGAGTAATTGCACAATCTAACTCATCATCAGGTAGCAATTCACACATCATCGCAGTCTTCAGCTAGTCCCCCATTTAAGTCTCTGAAATGAACGATTAATATTTATATCTATTTCATCCTTTTTAATACCATGATCATTGATTTTAAGACATAGCAGAAAGATTTTTTATCTTGTTTACAACGCAACTTTACAACACAATTCATTCTTAATGAGGTGAAAGATTGTTCTAAAGTTTCCCTGTAAGTTTTACTGGCTTTCGGAAAATTAGATCAATATCCGTGAGATTTATTACACCTATAAGTACGCTTATGTTTGTGATAATTACGTCTCAAAGAGACACTGAATTCTGTAGACTTAATACATGAGTCAAATTTGGCGCGTTAATATCTTTTTTAAATATCATTTTTTTTTTTTTTTTTTTTTTTGGGGGGGGGGGGGGGGTACTTTTCATCATTGTTACATTAGCCATATTTCGATTCATTTTAGTATTTAGAATTGGAGCATTTTGTCTAATGCTATGGAAAAGATTTGACACTTAGACCGTTACGGAACAAAAAACCCACACACACACATCCATGATTCTGACAAAACTATACTTAAGATACACATAAAATATTAGAATGATAGCTGATTGAAAATGTACATATGTTATAATCATAGTAATGCACTTCATATTGTTATGAACGTTAACTATGTTGCGACACTAATTAGGATGTTTCTCCTTATGTGTAGTTTACACAAGTACACTTATCTTTTTGTAACGCCACAGCAATGGGGGGCAGTGGGGTAACCAAGTGGTTAAAGCGGTCGCTCGTCACGCCGAAGACCCAGTTCGATTCCCCACATGGGTACATTGTGTGAAGCCCATTTCTGGTGTTCCCCTCCGTGATATTGCTTGATTTTTGTTTAAAACGACGCGGTGTTCATCAAATTATTATATGCAAGTACATGTACTTGTAGATTTGCACAATACAAGAGACACAATACAAGTTGATTATAAATCAAATGTCAAAATGAATATTTACGGACAACAGTATGACACACTGTAACATTATATACTACTGAAAACAAGTTATGGAACACCCACAATTTGAAGATTGTATTTTGCAATACTTTCTTTGGAAAATTATATATCTTAATATTTATTATATATATTTTATATTTAGACATAAAACTAACAAGGCCATGAAGCAATCAATCACATTTTACACAGAAATCTGTGGATTGTTTTAAAATCACCTACGTATGTACAGTTAAATTATGTTTTAAGTAAATAGTGAGAAAAGTTCAACATTCCCTCCCAATTGAAACTGATAACACATGCGGCCCCTCTATAGTGGTCAAGAGGGGATATGGCTTTACCGCGAGTGAGCGATGTCCCCTCTCGGCCACCATAATCGTGCCATGTATTAACATGCACGTGCAAATTCTGATGAACGACCGACCTTACAGTCGAGGAAATGTCTACATTAATATGTATTGAAAGATGCATTTTATAATTTCAGAATAAACTTATTTTCGCTGAACACAGTTACTATTTTCCTTTAGTGTAGAAGGACTTACATTGAACCCTATGGGGAATCCGCCCCACACCCAAAGCCAAAGAATTCGATGTTTTGACAGTAATGGAGTGACATTGCTGGAATAAACTTTAAAGAAAAAATGTTTTTAAATATTACTTTTTTTATTTAGAATTTATAGGGTATTTGAAATAATTATATCCCACAAAGCAGTTAACTTTAATTATCATATATAGGTCTACATGTTCGGAATATATTAAAGGGCATATCTACAAATTAAGATACATATGTCGAATTTGTCGATATTTTATTTCAAAACAGATACAAACGATACAAGAAATATAAATTTCAGTTTGATTATACTTCATTAATCCAACTCAAATAATACTTGTTTCGTTCAGATAATGAAAAACACGACCACACTGAAGACGTAACCTGATAAAAGTCAGCAATCACAAAAATAATATTAGATTTATTGGTTATATATATTAAAACCTCTAACTGTCGTGTGAGTATGAATCATCTGATGACACAGGGTCACTTGAGACGCAGTCAAATTTACACCCGCAATTCTTATCTGTTCAGAACTGACCAGAACCGTCACGAACTTCCTCTCGATCTCGGGAAACACCTTGAATGGAATTGTCTGCTATATATAGATAAATGACGTCATTTCAGAATCCTCCCTCGCAATGCGACAGAATAAATACTACTCAACGACGACTACTATTATTAACACAGATTTCATCACATCTCTTGCACCACGCTTGATGTAGATATTGACTTAAATAAGATAGATATATATTACTCAGAATGTAGTGTATGTAATTCAAATATTTGAATAAAAAACAAAGGATTTAATAAATAACTATGTCGTCTACGCTCCATATATTAAATAGTTGTATGGACATTATTACATCCGATTGTTTACGTCATGCGAGAAACAACTTTCAGCAGTGATAGCGTTTACCTTATAAATACAACCACTTGTGTGAATTACTCATGCTATGTTTACAAGTGACTAATATATTGCCACGTTAAATATTTTAGGAGTTAGAAGGGGAACATAGTTTGTAGTGAAACCTCGATGTGGATAGACCTGGGTTCATAGAGAGAGACTTTCTGTTAGTATTTCCGGATTCGATCGATAGGACCAGGATCTACCGATAGAAACAACACAACTCACAGTGACTGTTCAGTCTCCCTGTCGCCATTTTAAAAGTGTCCTTTCGTGTGAGTGTTGGAAGGTTATTATTACTAAGAACTATCAGGACACAGTCAGCTGATAGTGTAAATATTGTGACAAGTTATTGTCTTGTTCAAAGAAATGAAGATTCATGACTGTTCTGTTTTTAAGGATATTCCGTTCAGTGACATGTTTCGTGTTGAACCTCATCATCACCATGTACTGAGTGAACACGGAAGTGGATTTTTCTCTGAAAGAATTCCTGCTACTGGATCTCCAGAGGTCACCAGAAGGCGTGGCAGGTCTCGAGAGTTTGTTATTCCCATACAGGTTGAGGGGATAGACGCGCCATACAGCCCACAACCACTGATAGATCTGACTGAGGATTACCACGATATTCCTAGTCAAAACACCAATAATAATGGAGTAAATAGTCGGTCACGGAACCGTCGAAGAGCTCAGGCCAGTTCTCCAAGCCAAAGCACCAGCCATGGAAAAGGCAAATCTAGTCAAGACAATTCTGCATCAACTTTTTCAGTTTCTCAAGGCGCTCAATCATCAGCGAGAAATAGATTTTCAGAGGCCATTCAAGGCTCCTCCCAGCAGCCTGATCCATCAGATTCACGTCTGTCAGATGAATTGATTGATTTGTGTATGTATGAGGACTTGGCATGCGATTCGGCATCAGATGTGTATATAACTGAGAGTTATAATAGAACCTTCTTTGCTGAATCAAGTCCAGCATCTTCCCATAGTGACAGCATTCTGACAAAACATGCAGAATCCCATACAAGAGGAAAGCAAGATTCAATTAACAGGGTAACTCCGACACCAAGCTACCCAGTGTATCGGTACCTTAAGTCCCAACTTGCATCAGACGGACGTCAGATTGATTACATTCGTGGGGATGGCAACTGCTTTTTCCGAGCTCTTAGCAAAGAAATTTATGACTCCGAAGAATTCCATGAAGATGTGCGTCAAGCTGTGGTAGACTTGGTGGAAAAGTTTCCCGGAGAGTTCGAACAATTTCTGGATGCAGGCACACAGATGCTTGATCATATTAATGAAATGAGAAAGACATCAACTTGGGCTTCATCAGCTGAAATATATGCTGCAGCTACACTCCTTCAGCGAGACATTTATGTCTTGTCTCCAGATCATTCTGGTGATGCTTACAACTGGATGCTGTTCAAGCCCCGATTCACCTACACCAGAGACACATCCTACCATCCATGTTTCATCACCCTGTGTCACACTCACGGCAATCATTATGACAGGATCACACCCAACCTCGGAAATTGTAACTGTGATTATGAACCCCCTGCACTGTCAGGAGTTAGTGCCTATGTGGATCTAACTGGGAAAGACTGTTGAGGTATCCTGTCACCACGTGTTCTTTTTGAAAATAGTTTGTTTTGTTCATTGTGTTTAACATTTCATAAAGATTCAATTTCTTGATTTTTCTCACATAAGATACATTTAATGCTGTCAATAGTTATAATTTATCAAATATTTCCTATTAAAAACTCACATTTATCAATTTATTATTTATTTTGTCAACGTTCAGCCCTTTTCATCATTTTCATGTTGATTATGATTTCCTCAACGGTGTTTAAGCTAGTAAGTTATTCATGCTTTTTCAATTTGTCTTTTTCTCTAAATAATATATTGTTATTATTTTTCTGCTTTCTTGTCCACTGAGAAATGCTTTCATGATTGTGGATCACCATGTGATATGTGATTTATACATCAATCAGTTTTGTATTGTGTAATGAAGTTATCATGTTGCTTGTATTTGTTGTAAATCCTTGGTGTATCAATATTACCATGTGTCTTTCACCCAGTAATTGTGGAGATAATCATTCAGTATTTCATTTAAGATGTAATAATCAGGATAACATGATTCATATGAAGAGTGCCTATTTATGAGAAATCAACACATGCTTGCAAAACCAAGACCAAGACTTGCTTCATTTAGTTCTATTGCATTAGAGTAAGGTCTGGGCAGAAGGGAAATAATAGGATTCAGGGAGTGTGAGACAGACTAGAAACCACCCTACCCCGGTAATGTTCACAAGTTTGAAGTGTGGCATGTATAAATTGTCTGAATATCAGTAGTAATAATTCGCTGCCAGTTTTTTCAGGTCATACTTTTCCTTAGCCTTAGGTAGACCACAATGGCAGAAAAATCTAAACATGCCAAAAAGTTGAATAAAATAGCTATATTGAATGAAGCTTGTGAAAAGTATAAGTGTACATCTAAGGTGTGGTCGCTCCTTCACCATGGGTACAAACAGAGACGTCAAATGTTAGTTGCAGATGTTTGTTTCAAACATTTTACATAGAGATTTTGAGGTGGCATATGTGCTGTTATCATGATTATCTACCACTGTTTTAACCCCAAGAAAGATACAAACTGGACCAGTGATTATTTTCATCAATGCTGGCCTCATTGCTGCAGGAAACAAGGCCCTATTTACCAACTGATTCCTCATTATCCATGTGTCATGGTCAAAGCAAAAGTGCCAAATTGTCATTGCCATGTTCAAGTTGTTAATAAATGTTTTACTGTTTATGTTGCTATTTAATTTGTTTTGGAATGAGTTACACTGTTGAACAGAACACAGAAGACCTTATGTCAAAATGCTCCAATGACTAACACTTGGAACAAAGGATAAGGTAGGAGGAAAACATCTTTTGGGGCCTCTGGAAACGTCACATTTAAACTTGTGAGATATGAAACATATGAGGTCACATCCATAGAAGGTCGTGCCAAATGAACTGGACTGCTTAATCTCAATGAAAGATGTGTGGGTTCTTCAATCAGATGTCAGCTTTCTAAACCAATTTGACTTCATTTCTTTACCACCTTAATACAGAAATTAAGATTGTTACAAATGTAAACCCACACAAAACACAAATATTCCTCCGATCATACTTCTTTAGGTGTAGATGCCATGCCGATCAGAAACATATCCACAATGGAGTGGCACAGCTTTCTTTATGCCAGTCAGAAGTTCAGGATCATATTTGTTTTCAAGATACAGAAATCAGATATGCTTGTCTGAATGATTCGCTTACTCGTACCAAGAATTTCGAAGCCTCTACACTGCATAGGACATTCACCTGACATGACCTTTGGAGGTGTCGTCAGATCTTCATGCAGAAAGAAATCATGATCGTTTGCCGGCATGTGTCTGTGATCGTGGGTTTCAGCAATGAAGTGAACCTGTGCCACTTTCCTCTACACTCACATTGATGTGACATGCAGTGATACATATAAAGCAGCTTTGATCCAGCTGCCTGGAGGTAGCCCCCTGTATACACAGTAACAACATGCAGGTAAACAAGCACATACTGACAGTATCCTCAAAATGTGTTTTAATTTTCTGTAAAATAACTATATGCATACAGTACATCCAAAATATTAAAGAAACAGCGCATTTGAAAGAGACAACAAAGGGTAATAGATTATTTTCATGATTTTATCCACTTTTGAAAACCATTTCCTTTCACAGATTTCAAGTGAGTCTATTCATAAGCTGATCTTCCTTCAGACCAGTTTTACCACAGCATGACACGAGTCTCCTGAGGAAACTTGTCTGACCCACTGCTCAATACTGTTCCATTAGACTCAGTATCAATGGTGCAGTGGGACTTTTCCTAAAGAAGCAAACATGGATAACAATGAATAAACACCAAAAATATACAATTAAAAAAAGTCTAAAATATGTAAAAAAAAGGAAAATCACGATATATTCCGCACTTATAAAGGAAGCATAGTGTCCACACTGTCCTCCACTGTCTGCAGGAGAGAAACATCTGTGGCCACATCACTGGAGCTCACTGCTTGCCTTCAACAGACCCTCGAGGTCAGCACACTGCCTCCACTGTCTGCAGGAGAGAAACATCCTGTGGCCGCATCACTGGAGCTCACTGCTTGCCTTCAACAGACCCTCGAGGTCAGCACACTGCCTCCACTGTCTGCAGGAGAGAAACATCTGTGGCCACATCACTGGAGCTCACTGCTTGCCTTCAACAGACCCTCGAGGTCAGCACACTGCCTCCACTGTCTGCAGGAGAGAAACATCTGTGGCCACATCACTGGAGCTCACTGCTTGCCTTCAACAGACCCTCGAGGTCAGCACACTGCCTCCACTGTCTGCAGGAGAGAAACATCCTGTGGCCGCATCACTGGAGCTCACTGCTTGCCTTCAACAGACCCTCGAGGTCAGCACACTGCCTCCACTGTCTGCAGGAGAGAAACATCCTGTGGCCGCATCACTGGAGCTCACTGCTTGCCTTCAACAGACCCTCGAAGTCAGGAAGAAGATGAGCCACTTTCTTCCTCATCTCATTTCTTCTCTTCTCTCTCTCTACTTCCTTCCGACTCTCCTCCGGCAGACTGGTCCACACCTTAAACATTCTTTTCTTCAGGTTCCTGTGGTGACAAGCACAAAATGTATCAGTATACTCACACACAAGGCCTATATTTCTGATGAACTTGTATGTTTCTATAGAGATTCACCATGCTTAACTTTAAATTATAAAAGGTATGTTATATGTTCTTTAAGTAATAAAAGACTATTCCTGGTAGTGGTACAAACATAATTTTCTCACAGCAAATATTTAAACTGAGATTGGTACTGACCAGATGTAATGTTCTTTAGCTACTCGCTCCCTCTCCCAGGTGGCAAACTTCTCCTCCGTGGCATAGTCAGCCCAGGTGTCCATGATGGTGTGCAGCAACCTCCCCTCCCGGAACCTCCTGGCCTTCTCCATCTCTATTACCAGGCGGTGCTTGTACTGTCAAACACATGGTAACAGTGCTGTACTGTCAGACACATGGTAACAGTGTTGTACTGTCAGACACAGAGGTAACAGTGTTGTACTGTCAATCACATGGTAACAGTGTTGTACAGTCAGACACATGGTAACAGTGTTGTACTGTCAGACACAGAGGTAACAGTGTTGTACTGTCAGACACATGGGTAACAGTGTTGTACTGTCAGACACATGGTAACAGTGTTGTACTGTCAGACACATGGGTAACAGTGTTGTACTGTCAGACACATGGTAACAGTGTTGTACTGTCAGACACAGAGGTAACAGTGTTGTACTGTCAGACACGTGGGTAACAGTGTCGTACTGTCGGACACATGTTAACAGTGTTGTACTGTCAGACACATGGTAACAGTGTCGTACTGTCAGACACAGAGGTAACAGTGTTGTACTGTCAGACACATGGGTAACTGTTGTACTGTCAGGCACATGGTAACAGTGTTGTACTGTCAGACACAGAGGTAACAGTGTTGTACTGTCAGACACGTGGGTAACAGTGTCGTACTGTCGGACACATGTTAACAGTGTTGTACTGTCAGACACATGGTAACAGTGTTGTACTGTTAGACACATGGGTAACAGTGTTGTACTGTCAGACACATGGTAACAGTGTTGTACTGTCAGACACAGAGGTCACAGTGTTGAAGTGTCAGACACATGGTAACGGTGTTGTGCTGTCAGACACATGGTAACAGTGTTGTAGTGTCAGACACATGGTAACAGTGTTGTACTGTCAGGCACATGGTAAAAGTGTTATTCTGTCAGACACATGGTAACAGTGTTGTACTGTCAGACACAGAGGTAACAGTGTTGTACTGTCAGACACGTGGGTAACAGTGTCGTACTGTCGGACACATGTTAACAGTGTTGTACTGTCAGACACATGGTAACAGTGTCGTACTGTCAGACACAGAGGTAACAGTGTTGTACTGTCAGACACATGGGTAACTGTTGTACTGTCAGACACATGGTAACAGTGTTGTACTGTCAGACACAGAGGTAACAGTGTTGTACTGTCAGACACGTGGGTAACAGTGTCGTACTGTCGGACACATGTTAACAGTGTTGTACTGTCAGACACATGGTAACAGTGTTGTACTGTTAGACACATGGGTAACAGTGTTGTACTGTCAGACACATGGTAACAGTGTTGTACTGTCAGACACAGAGGTCACAGTGTTGTAGTGTCAGACACATGGTAACGGTGTTGTACTGTCAGACACATGGTAACAGTGTTGTAGTGTCAGACACATGGTAACAGTGTTGTACTGTCAGACACATGGTAAAAGTGTTGTACTGTCAGACACATGGTAACAGTGTTGTACTGTCAGACACATGGGTAACAGTGCTGTACTGTCAGACACATGGTAACAGTGTTGTACTGTCAGACACATGGGTAACAGTGTTGTACTGTCAAGACAAATGGTAACAGTGTTGTATTGTCAGACACATGGTAACAGTGTTGTACTGTCAGACACATGGGTAACAGTGTTGTACTGTCAGACACATAGGTAACAGTGTTGTACTGTTAGACACATGGTAACAGTGTTGTACTGTTAGACACATAGGTAACAGTGTTGTTCTGTCAGACACAGGGGTTACAGTGCTGTACTGTCAGACACGGGTTCCAGTGCTGTACTGTCAGACACAGGGGTTACAGTGCTGTACTGTCAGACACGGGTTTCAGTGATGTACTGTCAGACACAGGGGTTACAGTGATGTACTGTCAGACACAGGGGTTACAGTGATGTACTGTCAGACACAGGGGTTATAGTGCTGTACTGTCAGACACAGGGGTTTCAGTGCTGTACTGTCAGACACAGGGGTTATGGTGCTGTACTGTCGACCCAGGGGTTACAGTGATGTACTGTCAGACACAGGGGTTACAGTGATGTACTGTCAGACATAGGGGTTATAGTGCTGTACTGTCAGACACAGGGGTTACAGTGATGTACTGTCAGACACAGGAGTTACAGTGCTGTACTGTCAGACACGGGTTACAGTGCTGTACTGTCAGACACAGGGGTTATAGTGCTGTACTGTCAGACACAGGGGTTACAGTGCTGTACTGTCAGACACATGGGTAACAGTGATGTACTGTCAGACACAGGGGTTACAGTGATGTACTGTCAGACATAGGGGTTATAGTGCTGTACTGTCAGACACAGGGGTTACAGTGATGTACTGTCAGACACAGGAGTTACAGTGCTGTACTGTCAGACACAGGGGTTACAGTGCTGTACTGTCAGACACAGGGGTTATAGTGCTGTACTGTCAGACACAGGAGTTACAGTGCTGTACTGTCAGACACAGGGGTTACAGTGCTGTACTGTCAGACACAGGGGTTATAGTGCTGTACCGTCAGACACAGGGGTTACAGTGCTGTACTGTCAGACACAGGGGTTACAGTGCTGTACTGTCAGACACAGGGGTTACAGTGATGTACTGTCAGACATAGGGGTTACAGTGATGTACTGTCAGACATAGGGGTTACAGTGATGTACTGTCAGACATAGGGGTTACAGTGTTGTACACTTGACACTCAACAACAGAACAAGTGTTCCTCTGGAGGATGCTTAACAAGAAGCTCACCATTTTCCATCGAGTGAAGCATCGCTTGACAGCAAGGAAGCTGTTCATCTCATCTGCCAGCTGATTCTTTTCATCCATCACTGCCGCTGTGTGTCCCCACCATGACACCACCACCTTCCTACAGGAGACAACAGAGTCAGCACATAGCAGTGTACAACAAACCATCACTGTTCTAGAGTAGGTAGCCAGGAGGTAGATAGTGTAGTGAGTCGATTCAGTCAGTGTACAACAAACCATCACTGTTCTAGAGTAGGTTGCCAGGAGGTAGATAGTGTAGTGAGTCGATTCAGTCAGTGTACAACAAACCATCAGTGTTCTAGAGCAGGTTGCCAGGAGGTAGATAGTGTAGTGAGTCGATTCAGTCAGTGTACAACAAACCATCACTGTTCTAGAGTAGGTTGCCAGGAGGTAGATAGTGTAGTGAGTCGATTCAGTCAGTGTACAACAAACCATCACTGTTCTAGAGAAGCTTGCCAGGAGGTAGATAGTGTAGTGAGTCGATTCAGTCAGTTTACAACAAACCATCACTGTTCTAGAGCAGGTAGCCAGGAGGTAGATAGTGTAGTGAGTCGATTCAGTCAGTGTACAACAAACCATCACTGTTCTAGAGTAGGTTGCCAGGAGGTAGATAGTGTAGTGAGTCGATTCAGTCAGTGTACAACAAACCATCACTGTTCTAGAGCAGGTTGCCAGGAGGTAGATAGTGTAGTGAGTCGATTCAGTCAGTGTACAACAAACCATCACTGTTCTAGAGCAGGTAGCCAGGAGGTAGATAGTGTAGTGAGTCGATTCAGTCAGTGTACAACAAACCATCACTGTTCTAGAGTAGGTTGCCAGGAGGTAGATAGTGTAGTGAGTCGATTCAGTCAGTGTACAACAAACCATCACTGTTCTAGAGTAGGTTGCCAGGAGGTAGATAGTGTAGTGAGTCGATTCAGTCAGCGTACAACAAACCATCACTGTTCTAGAGTAGGTTGTCAGGAGGTAGATAGTGTAGTGAGTCGATTCAGTCAGTGTACAACAAACCATCACTGTTCTAGAGCAGGTTGCCAGGAGGTAGATAGTGTAGTGAGTCGATTCAGTCAGTGTACAAAAAACCATCACTGTTCTAGAGTAGGTTGTCAGGAGGTAGATAGTGTAGTGAGTCGATTCAGTCAGTGATTCAGTCAGTGTACAACAAACCATCACTGTTCTAGAGTAGGTTGTCAGGAGGTAGATAGTGTAGTGAGTCGATTCAGTCAGTGATTCAGTCAGTGTACAACAAACCATCAGTGTTCTAGAGTAGGTTGCTAGGAGGTAGATAGTGTAGTGAGTCCATTCAATGACTGTAACAAACCTCATGAGGTGTTCCCTGTGGTGTGAGATGGCCTGCTGCTGGTGTGCTTGGGCGATGAGCACCAACTTCTGGAGCGGCCTGATGCCGCGGTACTTCATGATGGACCGAGTGTAGTGAGCCTCTGCCTGCTGTGTCAGCTCTCTCATCCTCTCTGTCTGGTGCTGCTTCTCCATCTCACGCTGGCCGGAACAGAGACGACAATACTTAGCAGGCTCATTATGGGCAGGACTAGAGTCAGACATGTCTCTTAGCAGCATTCTAGATGGGACATTTCATTCAAACATGAGGTTTGCCCTATGCTAAACAATTGGTCCTTGTGACTTTAACAATCATGTTGTGTATCAAATAGAAAATGTGGAACTGATATGCATAGCATACACATGCTGTTCATATCTCAATTCATATGCTGCATAAAGAACTTCAACACAGAAAAACATGCATTCCTGCTGAGTAAAGAAGCACTGGATACTGTTTTACTGAGTGTATGGTGCTACCTGCTTCTCGAGCCTCTTCTTCTCCCTGAAGGCTGCAGCACGTGCCTTCTTCTCCTCTTCAGCCTGCTTCTTCATCTCCTCCTCCTGGGCCTCCAGCAGCACCTACAACAACAACAGCAGCACCTACAGCAACATGTACAACACAGCAGCACCCACAGCAACATGTATGACACCACAGCACCTACAGCAACATGTACAACACAGCAGCACCTACAGCAACATGTACAACACAGCAGCACCCACAGCATCATGTACAACACAGCAGCACCTACAGCAACATGTACAACACAGCAGCACCTACAGCAACATGTACAACACAGCAGCACCTTCAGCAACATGTACAACACAGCAGCACCTACAGCAACATGTACAACACAGCAGCACCCACAGCAACATGTACAACACAGCAGCACCCACAGCATCATGTACAACACAGCAGCACCTACAGCTACATGTACAACACAGCAGCACCTACAGCTACATGTACAACACAGCAGCACCTACAGGAACATGTACAACATAGCATCACCTACAGCATCATGTACAACACAGCAGCACCTACAGCAACATGTACAACACAGCAGCACCTACAGCAACATGTACAACACAGCAGCACCTACAGCAACATGTACAACACAGCAGCACCTACAGCAACATGTACAACACAGCAGCACCCACAGCAACATGTACAACACAGCAGCATCTACAGCAACATGTACAACACAGCAGCACCTACAGCAACATGTACAACACAGCAGCACCTACAGCAACATGTACAACACAGCAGCACCTACAGCAACATGTACAACACAGCAGCACCTACAGCAACATGTACAACACAGCAGCATCTACAGCAACATGTAAGACACCACAGCACCTACAGCATCATGTACAACACAGCAGCACCTACAGCAACATGTACAACACAGCAGCACCTACAGCAACATGTACAACTCAGCAGCATCTACAGCAACATGTACAACACAGCAGCACCTACAGCAACATGTACAACACAGCAGCACCTACAGCAACATGTACAACACAGCAGCACCCACAGCATGATGTACAAATACAGTAACACTTAAGAATGCATAAACACAAACAAATAAGTTTGCTTGGATAGCCAATCAAATGACATGGAATTGCTTGCAATAAAGTTACCATACAATCCAATTTAGTTCCAAGGCCTTTGTTTCATTACAAGGTGACCTTTCACCCGACCAATCAAAGTGTCGCTCGCCAGATCATGAAAGTGACAGTCGGAATGTGTTTTCTAATCATGCAAGTGATGCAGACATTTACCACCATGGTGAAACCAATCAACAGTTTTGACACACCAAAAATCATGATCAGAAAGAATATGGATTTCGAGTCCACACTGCCATTGTACAGTGTGTACTGACTGCCTGAGAACACATGTGCCTTCCCAGTCAGTCTTTACCACACAAATACCCTTCCAATACAAGCTGTGAGGTGAAGATTGTCCATCCACCTCACCAGCACATGATGAGTGTGACCCTGCTCACCAGTCTCTCCTCTTCCTCCTTCTTCCTCCTGGCATCTCTGTCTGCCTTCAGCCTCTTCCTCTCCTCTGCCCGGTCCTCCATGTCTACAACACACACTCACAATCTCAGTACTGTTGTGTATTAGATGTATGTGAAGTAACATAAAACAAGAAAACAGTATTATCACTATCCCCTGCCACAGAGCACATTAGAAGTTTGTTTGTTCTTGAAGTAGTGAATAATATGGATGTTAATGTTGCTAGCATGGGCCTTAACTCTGTACAAATACATGTAACAGGGATGTACCTCTGGAAAAGAAAAATTGATGGCACCACTTTTTTAACTCAGTCTTAATAAGTATCTCTTACATAAGCCTGCAAAGTTTTATTCATGCAACTTCAATAGTTTCTATGAAAATTTGTCCCCATTGCAGACACAATGCACTAAGTGAAAACACATGAAGCAAGGGCCTTAACTCTGTTATAAATGAATTTAAGACACCAATTTTCAAAGTCATTTGAAGTTGTGAGTAGTAACATCAGTGTTTTAAATTTGATTTCTGTAACTTAAATAGTTTTTATAGTTTTTTTGTCCCCTTTGAGAAGTGGAAAACGGATGCCTTCCAATATGCCCCACCCAACTGTGGCAGGAATATAAAACCTGGCTGGGTTGGAGGGAAAATAGGGGAGTGTGTGGGATGGGGGTGATCTTTTTATTTTCAGTGAGTGAGTGAGTTTGGTCGTATGCCCCATTCAGCAATATTCCGGTCATATCTCAGCGGCATCACATATCAAACAATTGTTATCATTGTGTAAAATTCTAATAATACTTCCTCTATTACATCACAGTCATACATTCCTGTTTGGGCCGTCAATCACACTCAAAAACCTTTAGATTTTAAACAGACGTCTTTCCTCACTGCCAACATATGTAATAGCTGTGAGGAAAACCCTATCCTTTAGAGGAAATGCTACTGCGCATGCAGGAAGCGGGAAAACTTCACTTCTTTTCACACATGACCCTCATCAACCATGTTGATCATCATCATGCAGGTTGTGGAAGGCGGGAGGGATTAATTCCTGATGTACTACAGGTAGTATTCTTAGAATTTTTACACACTAACAGATGTTGGATAATTCCTTCGAATACCCTACCTCTATTAAATCATAACCAGTATACACCACAGAGACCAGTGGGATCTGGCATCTAGTATCCCCAGATAGTTGGCAGCAGTGAAGTTGAAATATGTACATGCACATAACCATTTTAGGAAAAACGGAAGTATTGTGCCTGACAGTTAGTTCTAGATCTTCCAGTTTAGGTATTTTATGACATCAGTTTCGTTGGCTTTTGTGGTACTTTGACAGATTTATGATATCACATCAGGTTTTGTCGTCACTTCCTGGATCTGATGCTCTCTATAATGGTTCTGAGCCCACCTATGTCGTCACTTCCTGGATCTGATGCTCTCTATAATGGTTCTGGGACCACCTATGTCGTCACTTCCTGGATCTGATGCTCTCTATAATGGTTCTGAGCCCACCTATGTCGTCACTTCCTGGATCTGATGCTCTCTATAATGGTTCTGGGACCACTTATAACCTCACTTCCTGGATCTGATGCTCTCTATAATGGTTCTCAGACCACTTATGACGTCACTTCCTGGATCTGATGCTCTCTATAATGGTTCTGAGCCCCTGAGCGTCGTATATCGAGGTGATGATGAAGGAAGCCAACACAATACTCGGCATGTAGTCAACTTGGGTTGATGTAATGGCCGTCGGAAGAATTAGCAAATTGACGCTGTATGGATAGCCCAGGCTGAAGTAAGTTGATCTTTTCCATCCCCTGAACGCATTATAAGCGCTCCCGTTCTCAGAACGTGTGGGGTTGATGAAATGTGTTGCCCCGCGACCGACTTGTTGGTATAGGAGGTCTACCGTTTCCATCCTCTGCACATGGATGAAATACGACAGGCGTCTGGTTCAGTGGTTGCGTACAAGTAAGCATGCAAAGCAATCTGAAGAAATACATTACACTGCTCCCATTCGGTCAGGTCACCCTAATTTAGGTCGGAGATGTTTACACTCTTGACACGTGACACCCTGTGAAGTAGCCGAGAAAACCGCATTGCAGCCGGAAAAGAGATGCAATGTCCACATACAGATAATCCCCAATGAACTGTGTGGAAGACAAACAAGTGGTGAACCCGAACTCTGCGAAAAAGGAGCACCGGGAACGCTGCGAAAAAAATGGGAGCGTGGTTGAGGAACGCTGACGCTAGGGCAGGATAGAGGAGTGTTGGTGCCGGCGCTGTTGACGAAAAAGACAGAGGATGTCGTCGTCGGATGACAGGGCTGGTGTAGTGCAAAAATCAACACTGTGATATTAGAGACGCCTGACCAGTTGACCCAAGAAGTGGGTACCCGGTAGCCTATGACGAAGGTAGCACGTATCTTAGGAGGCTTTGAAGAACTGGCTTCAACTGTGAGCTCCTTCAGCCACGTCAAAGGAGTGAACCTGCAGGTCATCTCTCCTAAAGCATGGGGCTTATAACAACGGGGTTACGGAGCTGCTGGAGGGGCCGAGCAAAACCTGAGATACACAGGCACCGGTGGCGCTGAAGGAGCTGTTGAAACCAAGGGTGCCGGTGTTGTCGGGTGTGCTGGTAGCGTCAGGAGTGCCAGTGTTGTTGGGAGCACCAGTACCGCCAGCGGCGATGCTGCTGTCGACATAGATGGCAGAGGAGGCGGAAAAGCCAGTCCCATAATGGTAGTCACCGGAGGAGGGGACGATGTTGTTGATAAAGGCTTCGGCAAGGGAAGCGTAGAAGACCACAAATGGGCGTCGGTCGTGACGAGGGAGGGAGTCTCTGAGTTGTAAGCCATGTTAGGGTGTCGACGAGCTAATTGAGTGACAAAGGGGACAAAGGACTGCAATATTGGCACTGCGTTGTTAAAGTACAGGGCGTCATACGTTAACAGGTAACAATGTAGCAGCATACGATGAAAGCAGAAACACGCAAAGCACAGAAACAATTAGCAATAATTTCCATAAGGGATACAAAGTACGTCTGTCGGTGGAGGTTGACAAAGCATTTATGTGTTTTGATGTGACGTCATAACTTCTGGGTCACGTGCCGACTGTGCGAGGGTGCTGTTCTGGTTGGAACAACTTTTCTTTAGCAGCTGGATCTCACACAGTTCGTCTTTCTGTCAGAAAACAGCAGTAAATGCATTAAGAAGTAATGCAGGATAAGTTAAAAAAATATATATTTGGCTTAACATTGTGTGGATCGGTTGGTTAAAAAATATATAAATATCTGTTTATGAGTGCAGGGTGTCTCTGTGTTTTACAACACCACTTGTACCTACTTTTCAGCACTTGTAGATACTTGGTGCTGGACTTTGCCGTTGAGCCAGAGGTTGACGTCCGATCAGTGGGGAGGCTGCTCACACCAGTTCTACACAGATACAACCACAGCAACTATTATAATACAACCTGCTTTGGGGGAGCTAGTGCGCTCCCATATCACTATGACAGATGAATCTCATAATCTTGAATGTACTGATATCTTGAACCTATTCTTTGGTGCCGACATATGAATACATATAAATTTGCCCACTTAATCACTGGAAATTGAGATAAAAATACCAAATGCTATCTTGAACCTTGGACTCTGCCCCAACTTTGATTTTACAGAATTTTGACTTTTGTAGAATTTTGAACATTTTTCTGGAAGTTGGCATATGCCACATTAACATTTGGAAGTGCAAGTGTATCTAGAACCTTTCCTCACACATCAAACAGTGCAAGTTAAACAAAATGTTGAACCATTAATGTACTTATCTTTAAACCCAATTGGAATGGTAATCTTTATTGACAAATAACACATCATGAGTATGTAGTAGTAAAACATGGCGGCACTTCCTGGTTACATCAAAAACTGCTACTTAAAGTCAGATTAAAGATACGTGGCACTACTCACAATATCCAGGCTGTGAATTAACAAGTTTGGGGCGGGAATGGCACTTTGTTTTTGTCAAGCGGACAGACTAAATAGTGACTCCTGCCACGCCTTCGTGAGTACATGTATACTGTCCATGATTTGTCACAACTGTTACTACTCACTGCTGGCGATACACATTTCAATTTGTCATCACACACACATGCTACAATACATGCAGTTATATGTCGGACAAAGTTAACAGTAGCATAAACACAATGTGGTAGTCACTGTGCCCACTTTAAAATTGGAGACAACATCCTCCACCTTCAGCCCAACAGCAATGATAGGCTTCAGCAACGTCTGCTATGTGGTGTCTGCACAGGACGTAAGGTGGTACAAAATTAAACCACAATCAGAGATCAGAGAACAAAGTTAAGAAACAACAACTTTCAGTCACCAAACATAATGCTCGATAACCACACTGATATTCTCAACCAAATCACTGATGGATGGCAGGAATAAATCAAAAACGATACATGTAACTGTGATTTCCAGGTTATGTTAAGAGAAAATACCACATAATAAAAATAACTGCTTTGTTTAAAAAATACTATAACAGGTAATAGTGTTACTACTGTAAATAACTATGTTGGGTATCTTTTATCGTTTTTTTCTTCTTTAGTTTGTTGTTTAACGTTTTCACTCAGCAATATTCCAGCTATATGATGAATCTGGACCAGACAATCCAGTGCTTAACATCATGAGCATCGATCCACGCAATTGGGATACGATGACATACATCAAGCAAGTCAGCGAGCCTGACCACCCGATCCCGTTAGTCACCTTTTACAACAAGCATAGTTGCTTTTTACGGTAAGCATGGGTTGCTGAAGAAGTATTCTACCCCAGATCTTCTCGGGATGTATCTTTTATCATAAAAGGTACATTATATTGGCCAATTTTGTCAGGCAAGACTTCACCTGAAGTGATGCAGTTCTGTTGCTGACCACAGTGGATCCTGAATTACCTCAAGTTCTGAGAGAGGAAGGGAGGCAACTCTAATGCTTCAAACTAATATCTCCAAAGTATGATGCAAAGAAACATGATAGTTTTCTACACAATTCCATGTTCACATCTACATGACAAATTATGATATGCATGCCTTCAGACAATTATATTGGCAAATTCCAGGCTTCTTCAAGGCTGAATTTAAAGATTTTTCAAGCCAAACATCTCATTCCAATCTATTTCAAAGCCTGTGCACCCACACTGAGAAACCCTGTTGGCTCTATGTTCAGACCTCACATCCATTTGGGTTAAATACGCTTCATAACTAGAGATGGATTAAAGAAAGCATTTTTCTGTGACCAGCAATATCTCTCAATGTACAGTGGAATCTGTGTACACCAGACTTCTGTGGAACCTGAACTTGAAGACTGGTCTAGACAGCAGGCCAGTGCAGACACAAATTATATTCCTTTCAAAGAAGAGGTCACATGACAAGCAGGAGAAGTAGAAGATAAAACTAATGCTGCATTCCAATAAACTTTATCTTCATAATTATATTTACTTTCAAGCCTTATCAACTGTTTACTATGTTTGATAGATTTATAAATGGAATTTCGGATCAAATTACGCTCTAAACAACTATACTCAATACAACTCTATTGTATCCCAAGCCGAGAACGTCAGTTACATGAAAAATTGGTCCACTGTCCCAAAATTTTAGTCTGAAATCTGGAGTTGAGAACGTCAATTACATGATAAAGTGGTCCACTGTCCCACAATTTCAGTCCGGATACCGGAGTGGAAAACGTCAATTACATGATAAAATGGTCCACTGTCACAAAATTCAGTCTGGAATCTGGAGTGGAGAACGTCAACAACATGATAAATTGTTCCACTGTCACAAAATTTCAGTCTGGAATCCGGAGTGGAGAACGTCAATTACATGATAAATTGGTCCACTATCACAAAATTTCAGTCCGGATACCGGAGTGGAGAACGTCAATTACATGATAAATTGGTCCACTGTCCCAAAATTTCAGTCCGGAATCCGGAGTTGTGAATGTCAGTTACATGATAAATTGGTCCACTGTCCCAAAATTCAGTCTGGAATCCGGAGTTGAGAATGTCAGTTACATGATAAATTGGTCCACTGTCGCAAAATTCAGTCTGGAATGAATGCAGTAAATGCAGTAAAGTAGGGGCCGCATATTTTGTCCGGTATTGACAGAGGACTGGGTTAGTCAGATTCCTGTTTAGACAGATTCCACTGTCATAGGGAACAGTCCAGGGTTTTTTTACCTGCATCTTGGTAAATCCGTATGTATCCATCATGTTCAAAGCCCAGGCTGAATATCAGAGTACTTATTATATATTGCTGGACTGAAGTCAGTGATTTTGCAAGAGATAAATGGCATGAGGACATTTTTATAATATTATAGCCAAATGTGCAAAAACTTCTTATTTTTGGATGATAATCAGTCAGTGTCCTAGAAAATAAACGGATCTGAAACCCTGGCAACCAGATGAGGTAAGTGTTGAATGAATGCCTCCAACACATTTGTCCTCAGACCAGCACTTCTAAAACTGTAGCCTACCTGGCAGTCACAGCGCTGTGTCCTGTAGAATCAGTTCTGGCAGTTTCCATGACAATATTTGTATCCTTCTCCTTAGAAACATTATTCCGCTGTTGCGACACAAACTGAGTCTGTGGTTGACTGACATTAGTCAGATTATTCATTAACTGTGGTTCTGTGCCCTGCTGCTGGTCAGACAAGGGAGATAACCCCTGCTTAGCAAGATGCTGTTGTATAAGTTGTTGCCTGGCAACTTCTTCTTGATGCAACTGTTGTTTCTGATTGAACTGCAACTCTTCAATCATGCGACGTTGTTCCTTTATCTGCTTATGTTGATTATGCAACATCTTTTGTTGAGATGTGTATCGATTTTCAAAATTATTTACAACATAATGTGTATTCATCCATGGCTGTTTGCCAAACCGACGTCTTATTTTTGTGTCACTATGTTGGGAGTTCTGTTCCATGTCTCCACCAGCAAGACATGCAATCTCTTCATCTGTCAGGTTGACATGACGTCGTGTTACCTGCCATGCTTGGGTGGGGATCCTGTTTGGGCGAGACTTGTTACTGGCCAGTGAAGAGTCACTCCTGGTTGATACTGGACCGGATTGTGTGGGACCTTGATGGTCTCTGGTCGGTTGTTGGAAGAAGTCTTCCTGTCAACATGAGTAAGTATGGTATTACAATGCTTAGGAATATTCCTGCAATTTCAGGGCGGGGGACACCAGAAATGGGCTTGACATATTGTACTCATGTGGGGAATCAAACCCAGGTCTTCGGCGTGACAAGCGAACGCTTCAACCACAAGGCTACCCCACCCCCACCCTGTCAACATGAAGTTGGGGGCTGACACGTTCCTGATGACAAGCACAGAAGCACTTCTCACAACGAACTGATTCTCACGCACATCAATAAACAGTGCATGATCAGATATGCACATGTTCTCTATCACCAATGTTTGGGGGCTGGGGGGGAGGGGGGCAATTTGAAAAGAGAAATATTTCATCTTCATACTGAACACTTGAAGATGTCTTTTTTTCATCCCAAAATTGTGAGATAAAATGCTGACCACACTCTCCCTTATCACTGACTTTGTTTCCAGTGTTCCTGTTTTCGGCAATGACCAGTTTTTTACTAGTAAAATTTACCCGCAAATAAAGTATGTTATTAATCTTTTTTGTTGAACGAAACATTGGTGATATTCATATATGTATATTTTTCTAGCAAAGTCAGCTTTTCTGTCACCATCAGGGTTTCCCCTTGTCTATATTTAGTGCAAGGAAATATCATTTTGCTTTGCTTCGAGGTTAAATATATATTTGTTGAGACTCAAAATATTCAAAAATGAACGTGAATGATGTGTAGACCGAACTAAGTTACTTCAGAGATGACGTCATTGCATTGAACATGATGTTGAACGAATTAAAACCAGGTAATTTTCATATGTGTTTTTATTTGTTAAAAGTTGGGATTGACAAAAATTAGTCCTTGAACACTGGTTTTGTGATTACAGATCCCCCTCCTTGCTCTCTACAGTGATGTTTAAAACCTGTTGACACTGTAGCAACTGTCTCCAACCCTGCAACAGAGGCCTTCCTAGGATTGGTGATGAAGCCCTGGCATAACAGTAACCCAACCAACCCATGGTACAATGTTTTCTTCTCCACTGGTCCCTTTCTCTATTCACACTCACTTGAAGCATCATCAAACAATGGCCAGGGGGACATTATTGACACCTCTAGTTAGACAGCACCAGTATTTCTATTGCATGGACACTAATAGACTCGTGTTACAATGGTCACACTGCTGCGTGCCACACATTCACGGATGACATTCCTGTGTTATCACTGCACAGGGGAGAGGTGCATGTCATCTTCTAGGTCACACTCCTGCGCGCCACACATTCAGGGATGACATTCCTGTGTTATCACTACACAGGGGAGAGGTGCATGTCATCTTCTAGGTCACACAGCTGTTTGCCACACATTCAGGGATGACATTCCTGTGTTATCACTGCACAGGGGAGAGGTGCATGTCATCTTCTAGGTCACACAGCTGCTTGCCACACATTCAGGGATGACATTCCTGTGTTATCACTACACAGGGGAGAGGTGCATGTCATCTTCTAGGTCACACAGCTGCGTGCCACACATTCAGGGATGACATTCCTGTGTTATCACTGCACAGGGGAGAGGTGCATGTCATCTTCTAGGTCACACAGCTGCTTGCCACACATTCACGGATGACATTCCTGTGTTATCACTACACAGGGGAGAGGTGCATGTCATCTTCTAGGTCACACAGCTGCTTGCCACACATTCAGGGATGACATTCCTGTGTTATCACTGCACAGGGGAGAGGTGCATGTCACCTTCTAGGTCACACTGCTGCGTGCCACACATTCATGGATGACATTCCTGTGTTATCACTGCACAGGGGAGAGGTGCATGTCATCTTCTAGGTCACACTGCTGCGTGCTACACATTCATGGATGACATTCCTGTGTTATCACTACACAGGGGAGAGGTGCATGTCATCTCTCTAGGATTCTTTTCCTTATAACAAATCATTGAGGTAATATTTAAAAACACTTTGAAATCTGAAACTTACTGTTTGCTCAACCAAATCCATGGATGGATAACTACAAGGGTAGCTGTCTGCTAGTAATCTGACAATATCTGGTACAGGCCTTTTGTGAAATCTGATTAAATGCCCAAATCTGATTCATTTCCCTATTAGAAAGTGCTTTTTAAAAAAAGATCGGACAAGTTGAAAAGACATAACTAATCTACAACCAATGGTGTCTTTCTGTTTCAGACTTGAGGATATGAAGATCGCACTCACTCCACCAACATTCACCCACATATGACAGCTCAGTTCCACAATATTACAAACCAGATCCTCCACCACCATTTCTGATTTTGGAATTCTGTCCCCTTTCTTCTTTCTCTCAGTATCCCCTTCATTCCTCCTGCTGTCCTCCGCCTCTCTCTCACTCCACAACCTGCCAGTTGCCGCAGCGTCCAGCAGCTCCATCATCTTGCTCCGTGTGTTCTTCTGCTCTGCCAGAAGATGGCGTCGGTCCTGCTCTGCCCGCACATAGGTCTGCCACACTGTCAGATAGCGGTGCAGTAAGGTGAGGTGGTGATGCTGCTCTGCCAATTGCTGCTTCCTGGAAACATGTCAACTCTAAATTACTGTACGGTCAACTCATGGAGCTACCTACATCTCTACTGTACAGTCAACTCATGGAGGTACCTATATCTCTACTGTACAGTCAACTCATGGAGCTACCTATATCTCTACTGTACAGTCAACTCATGGAGCTACCTACATCTCTACTGTACACTCAACTCATGGAGGTAACTACATCTCTACTGTACAGTCAACTCATGGAGGTAACTACATCTCTACTGTACAGTCAACTCATGGAGGTACCTACATCTCTACTGTACAGTCAACTCATGGAGGTAACTACATCTCTACTGTACAGTCAACTCATGGAAGTACCTACATCTCTACTGTACAGTCAACTCATGGAGGTACCTACATCTCTACTGTACAGTCAACTCATGGAGGTACCTACATCTCTACAGTACAGTCAACTCATGGAGCTACCTACATCTCTACTGTACAGTCAACTCATGGAGGTACCTACATCTCTACAGTACAGTCAACTCATGGAGGTACCTACATCTCTACAGTACAGTCAACTCATGGAGGTACCTACATCTCTACTGTACAGTCAACTCATGGAGGTACGTACATCTCTACTGTACAGTCAACTCATGGAGCTACCTACATCTCTACTGTACAGTCAACTCATGGAGGTACCTACATCTCTACAGTACAGTCAACTCATGGAGGTACGTACATCTCTACTGTACAGTCAACTCATGGAGCTACCTACATCTCTACTGTACAGTCAACTCATGGAGGTACCTACATCTCTACTGTACAGTCAACTCATGGAGGTAACTACATCTCTACTGTACAGTCAACTCATGGAGCTACCTACATCTCTACTGTACAGTCAACTCATGGAGGTACGTACATCTCTACTGTACAGTCAACTCATGGAGGTACCTACATCTCTACTGTACAGTCAACTCATGGAGGTAACTACATCTCTACTGTACAGTCAACTCATGGAGGTACGTACATCTCTACTGTACAGTCAACTCATGGAGGTACGTACATCTCTACAGTACAGTCAACTCATGGAGGTACGTACATCTCTACTGTACAGTCAACTCATGGAGGTACCTACATCCCTACTGTACAGTCAACTCATGGAGGTACGTACATCTCTACTGTACAGTCAACTCATGGAAGTACCTACATCTCTACTGTACAGTCAACTCATGGAGCTACCTACATCTCTACAGTACAGTCAACCCATGGAGGTACCTACATCTCTACTGTACAGTCAACTCATGGAGGTAACTACATCTCTACTGTACAGTCAACTCATGGAGGTAACTACATCTCTACTGTACAGTCAACTCATGGAGGTACGTACATCTCTACTGTACAGTCAACTCATGGAAGTACCTACATCTCTACTGTACAGTCAACTCATGGAGCTACCTACATCTCTACAGTACAGTCAACTCATGGAGGTACCTACATCTCTACTGTACAGTCAACTCATGGAGGTACGTACATCTCTACTGTACAGTCAACTCATGGAGCTACCTACATCTCTACTGTACAGTCAACTCATGGAGGTACCTACATCTCTACTGTACAGTCAACTCATGGAGGTACCTACATCTCTACTGTACAGTCAACTCATGGAGCTACCTACATCTCTACTGTACAGTCAACTCATGGAGGTAACTACATCTCTACTGTACAGTCAACTCATGGAGGTAACTACATCTCTACTGTACAGTCAACTCATGGAGGTAACTACATCTCTACTGTACAGTCAACCCATGGAGGTACCTACATCTCTACTGTACAGTCAACTCATGGAGGTAACTACATCTCTACAGTACAGTCAACTCATGGAGGTAACTACATCTCTACTGTACAGTCAACCCATGGAGGTACGTACATCTCTACTGTACAGTCAACTCATGGAGGTACGTACATCTCTACAGTACAGTCAACTCATGGAGGTACGTACATCTCTACTGTACAGTCAACTCATGGAGGTAACTACATCTCTACTGTACAGTCAACTCATGGAGGTAACTACATCTCTACTGTACAGTCAACTCATGGAGGTAACTACATCTCTACAGTACAGTCAACTCATGGAGGTACCTACATCTCTACTGTACAGTCAACTCATGGAGCTACCTACATCTCTACTGTACAGTCAACTCATGGAGGTAACTACATCTCTACTGTACAGTCAACTCATGGAGGTAACTACATCTCTACTGTACAGTCAACTCATGGAGGTAACTACATCTCTACTGTACAGTCAACCCATGGAGGTACGTACATCTCTACTGTACAGTCAACTCATGGAGGTAACTACATCTCTACTGTACAGTCAACTCATGGAGCTACCTACATCTCTACTGTACAGTCAACCCATGGAGGTACGTACATCTCTACTGTACAGTCAACTCATGGAGGTACGTACATCTCTACAGTACAGTCAACTCATGGAGGTACGTACATCTCTACTGTACAGTCAACTCATGGAGGTACCTACATCCCTACTGTACAGTCAACTCATGGAGGTACGTACATCTCTACTGTACAGTCAACTCATGGAAGTACCTACATCTCTACTGTACAGTCAACTCATGGAGGTACCTACATCTCTACTGTACAGTCAACTCATGGAGCTACCTACATCTCTACTGTACAGTCAACTCATGGAGGTAACTACATCTCTACAGTACAGTCAACTCATGGAGGTACCTACATCTCTACTGTACAGTCAACTCATGAAGGTACCTACATCTCTACTGTACAGTCAACTCATGGAGTGAGTGAGTATGGTTTTACGCCGCTTTTAGCAATATTCCAGCAATATCACGGCGGGGGACACCAGAAATGGGCTTCACACATTGTGCCCATGTCGGGAATCGAACCCGGGTCTTCGGCGTGACGAGCGAACGCTTTAACCACTAGGCTACCCGACCGCCCCAGTCAACTCATGGAGCTACCTACATCTCTACTGTACACTCAACTCATGGAGGTACCTACATCTCTACAGTACAGTCAACTCATGGAGGTACGTACATCTCTACTGTACAGTCAACTCATGGAGGTACCTACATCTCTACTGTACAGTCAAGTCATGGAGCTACCTACATCTCTACTGTACAGTCAACTCGTGGAGGTACGTGGATGGTGTACTGGTACTTGTATCTTCAAGACACAGCAGCCACCGTTGTACACCATCCTGGTAGGACTGGAACCTTAGAAGGAGTCATGTTCAGTGATGTGCATACCTATGCATATCCAGCACTGTCTGTTGGTATTGCCTCGTCTCTACATCCAGGCGCCGAGTACGGGAGTAGGACCTCCAGGCATTCCAGGCTCGGAGCAGCAGCTTCCAGTCTGCCAGCGCCCTTGCCTTCCCGGTCTGCAGGCGGCGGTCCAGCACAACCTTGTACCAGGCTGAGAAGTGGCGCTGCAGGCACTGGGGAAACGGGAAGGTTACGTAGCCACAATCACATCAAAACCATGCCGTTATATGTGGAGATCTCATAAACCAGCCATAGCTAATTGCCATGGGTTTGTGAGGAATATATAAAACAAACATCATGAAATTTGTCATTATGTTACTTAGCAACATGTTATGAGGATGACCAAATATGTTCCTTATTTCAACACTATTCTGGCCCATCCAAATGACTGACAGAACCTGAAATTTGCCAGATATATTTTACTGGTAAGAAAACATGTAATTACTGGTGGTTACAGGTAGGAAACAAAACTATCAAAGTCCCTGTGATCTTCACATACAGTTTCCCAGAAACTGATGCAGGTGAAGATTAATATAAGGCTAACATTATATTTCAGGGCATTATCATTTGCAGAAGCCTGAGATCTGCCATTATATCTGCCCCATGAAGGATGGCAGTTGAACAGACCAAGTGCTTCTGCAAAAATAATTTTATTAGAGCTAAAATGTACAGAATTTGTAGCTAATGCCAAAATGAATAAGACAACAAACAGCAGCATACATTGCTGTATAAAAACCTAACAATGGAGGTCACAATAGCAACATCATAGAACATAATGTATGATGACATCACAGACAAGACGCCAGATAACAATAGAACTGCAGCCAGTCGATGGGGAAATGTGGGTTGCTATCAAGTAACAGTGGCTCGCAGATTTCTAAAAACATGCGGGCATTTTTTATGATAATTCAATCCATTTTAGCTATAATTACTATTCAAAGAGAAATGACTACTTTTTGCAACTATGTTGCATTGGACAAACTGAACACTGAGCAAGTGTGTTGAAACCCAGTGCGTTACAATTTTAGGAATACGACCTGTGTTACCTTAAGGTTTTTACTAGACTGTTTAATCTGGAACTTGTGGAGTCTGTCGTACATCGTCCGTTGCCACGCCTCCTTGGCCTGCTGATGCTGCTGGTGCTGGCATCGCTCCTGCTCCGTCTGTCTGGCCAGCTCCTCCCTCGCCTCCTGGGCCAGCTCCTCACGGGCTCGCCGCTCTCTGCAGCACACAACACACTTCAGTGACTTGTGTGGCCGTGCTGAACTCAAATCTAGTACCTTGTCAGGTACGTAGGACATAGGACAGCTATATTTCTTGCATGCATTACATTGCAACAAGCTACACAGCATGTCAGAGTCATGACATCACTTAGATTCATGTGACAAGTTGACAAGCAAGTTTGGATATTTTCACAAATTCATAAATCTCCGCATATTATTCCACACAAATCCTTGACTATCAAATATCAGTCAGTTCAATCCTTGTTTCGAAAAATTTGTTATTGTGGTGTTTGAGGTACTTTCAAACTTCGAAGTTCTATTTCCTTATTGGACATAGTGATGACTGCTGGTTCTATTGGTAAAGACTGAAAAGCAGTGTTATGATAACTTTAGAGCATAGTTACAGGAAAGTGACAATTTCTCAGTTTGGGTTCTACGATTGACTGTGAAGATGGGTGACCTGTCTCTCAGCTCCTGCTGTTTATGTCTCTCCTCCAGCATCTCCTTCCTGATGCGAGCCATCTCCTTCTTCAGTTCCTGCTCCTCTCGCCTCACTTTCAGGTCCCGATCTCGCTCCTCCTGCACAACAGTCCACAATAACTTAATATTCCACCCGATCTGTCATCTTATCTACTCCACTTATCATCTGACTAGCTCCCCCACTCTCCTTTTGATCATCTGTCTAGTGCCACCTACTTACCGCATCATCATCTGTCTAGTGCCACCCACTCCCTGTATCATCATCTGTCTAGCTCCACCCACTGCCTGTATCATCATCTGTCTAGCTCCTCCCACTTCCCGCATCATCATCTGTCTACCTCCACCCACTCCCTGTATCATCATCTGTCTAGAACCACCCACTGCCTGTATCATCATCTGTCTAGAACCACCCACTGCCTGTATCAGCATCTGTCTAGCTCCTCCCACTTCCCGCATCATCATCTGTCTAGTTCCTCCCACTCCCTGTATCATCATCTGTCTAGTTCCTCCCACTTCCTGTATCAGCATCTGTCTAGCTCTTCCCACTTCCCGCATCATCATCTGTCTAGTTCCTCCCACTCCCTGTATCATCATCTGTCTAGTTCCTCCCACTTCCTGTATCAGCATCTGTCTAGCTCCTCCCACTTCCCGCATCATCTGTCTAGCTCCTCCCACTCCTTGTATCATCATCTGTCTAGTATCTCCCACTTCCTGTATCAGCATCTGTCTAGCTCCTCCCACTTCCCGCATCATCATCTGTCTAGTGCCACCCACTCCCTGTATCATCATCTGTCTAGTTCCTCCCACTCCCTGTATAATCATCTGTCTAGTGCCACCCACTCCCTGTATCATCATCTGTCTAGATCCACCCTCTCCCCGTATCATCATCTGTCTAGTGCCACCCACTCCCTGTATCATCATCTGTCTAGTTCCTCCCACTCCCCATATCATCATCTGTCTAGCTCCACCCACTCCCTGTATCATCATCTGTCTAGCTCCACCCACTGCCTGTATCATCATCTGTCTAGCTCCACCCACTGCCTGTATCATCATCTGTCTAGCTTGGCCCACTTCCTGTATCATCATCTGTTAAGCTCCACCCACTCCTTGTATCATCAAGTCTAGCTCCACCCACTCCCTGTATCATCATCTGTCTAGCTCCACCCACTGCCTGTATCATCATCTGTCTAGTGCCACCCACTCCCTGTATCATCATCTGTCTAGCTCCACCCACTGCCTGTATCATCATCTGTCTAGTGCCACTCACTCCCTGTATCATCATCTGTCTAGTTCCTCCCACTCCCCATATCATCATCTGTCTAGCTCCACCCACTCCCTGTATCATCATCTGTCTAGCTCCACCCACTGCCTGTATCATCATCTGTCTAGCTCCACCCACTGCCTGTATCATCATCTGTCTAGCTCGGCCCACTTCCTGTATCATCATCTGTCTAGTGCCACCCACTCCTTGTATTATCATCCGTCTAGTTCCTCCCACTCCCCATATCATCATCTGTCTAGCTCCACCCACTGCCTGTATTATCATCTGTCTAGCTCGGCCCACTTCCTGTATCATCATCTGTTTAGCTCCACCCACTCCTTGTATCACCATCTGTCTAGCTCCACCCACTGCCTGTATCATCATCTGTCTAGCTCCACTCACTGCCTGTATCATCATCTGTCTAGCTCCACCCACTTCTATGTCTCAACATCTGCTTGGCTCCACCTACCTGTATAACCATCTGCTCAGCTTCACCCACCTGTATAACCATATCCTTGGCTCCACCCACATGTGTTACCATCCACTTGGCTCCACCCACTTGTATAACCATCCACTTGGCTCCACCACCTGTATAACCATATCCTTGGCTCCACCTCCCTGTATAACCATATCCTTGGCTCCACCCACCTGTATAACCATCTACTTGGCTCCACCCACCTGTATAACCATCTGCTTGGCCTTATGGAATGAATCCTTCTTTTCCTGCTGTTCTCTCCGCTTCTTCTCCAAATCACGCTCTCTCTTTTCCCGGTTTTCCTTCACCTGACAATCAACACTGCACTCTGGTTAAAAGTCACTAAATTCTGCATTTACAACAGTCCCGAATTGTGAGGCAACCGAAGACCAAGATTTTTGATGAGGTTATAACATAACTTCATTTGTTCTTCAATATTTTTTACATTTGTATACTTACCCTGCATTACTCCTTAATGTATTTACTGCTGTCATTTGACAGAGAGACGAACTGTGTGAGATCCATCTGCTGAAAAAAAGTTGTTATAACCAGTATAGGCAGCACCCTCGCACAGTCGGCGCGTGACCCGGAAGTTATGACGTCACATCAAAACACATAACTGCTTGAAAAATAACATCTGAAACTTCGTGGGGAGGTAGCATAGCGAAAGGCCTTCATTCAGATGTGATCCATATGAAACAAGTGATGACCGGAACACCTAGGACCATTTCTGTCGAAGGAAATGCAATCGAGGCAAAAAGGGGGGGTACCCGATATAGGTGACAGCAATGGAATGAGGCAGATCACCAAAAACTAGAACTGACCTAAGAGGGAATGCGAACGCAGTAGAGGTGGGGTGATAGACACCAGTGAGGTCTACGGGCCCCGCTCAGGGTAACTGAGAATCAGTGGCATCGGGGATAGGTGACCGCCCAGAGCCACAGGGAAATAGTATTCTGGCTGACCTACGACTGCGACGAAGGGGAGACCGGCAGAAAATGGTGTTTCCTAGACTTGCGGCAGGCTTAAGATCGTCATAGGAAAACCTTCAGTGCCATAACTGGGCATAATAAAAGCTCCCCATCATCGTCTGCACCCACAATGGACGAGAGAGGGGGATGGTGAATGATCTATCAGGCTGTCCTGGGAGTTAATTCTTTGCCATGAAGTCCCAGCACATCCCCAGATGAATGGCGCCCTGAGTACCGATTACAAACCGGACACGGGAAAGGTCGAGGGCGTGGAGCTCACTGACCCGAGTGGCAGTAGCCAAGGCCAGTAGAAACACCATCTTCTTTGTTAGGTCGAAGAAGGAAGACGAGTGGAGTGGTTCTAAGAAGCTGTCCGAAGAGGCTGTAAGACCACATTCAGATCCCACACAGGCTGTCTGAACTTGGCTTTCTGGTCTTCAAGATGGAACGAGCACAGCAAGGCCTGGAGTTCGGGAATTTTTCGTCATTCTCCAATCATCCGGGATGGGAAGAATGGAGTTGATGGCGACCAAGTATGTGGAGATGGAGCCTTTCAACCGACGTGTGCTGCGCAAGTAAAGAAGGAACTCTGCAAGGAACTGCGGTGACGCTGTCATCGGATCCTGGTGTTTGTCTGAGCAGAATGCCTGGAACGAGCACCATTTATCATCATACAGTCCCCGTGTAGATTGACCATGGGCTAATGCAATAGCCTTAGCTGCTCTAACTGAATAGCCCTTGGCTCCTAGGGCTTTCTGCACATGTGCAGACGAAACCAAGGCAACAGACTGTGTGGGTGGAACAGAAGGTTGGGCCACGCCGGGAGTTCCGGGGGGTTGTCTCTGGCGATGTTTCGGAGGTCGAAAAACCAACTTCTGGCCGGCCACAAAGGTGCGAACAAAATCTGTGTCAGGTTCCGAGTGGCCTGGATCTTTTGAAGAACCCTGGGAAGGAGAACCGGGGACGGAAAAGCGTACATGTTTAATCCTTCCCAGGGAACACTGAAGGCGTCAACTGACACAGCAACCGGATCCAGCACCGGTAAAATATAAGTCGACAGCTGGCAGTTCTAAGATGTGGCAAACAGATGAATGTTTGGGGTGTCGATCGCTTGACAAAGTCTGGCGAAGTGCTCTGGGTGGAGCTTCCTTTCGGTGGGAGATACCTTGTTCGGCCTGGACAGAGCATCTGCCAGAACATTCTTGCAACCTGGAATGTGTTGAACAAGGAATTGCAGGTCTAATCTGTCTACCAGGTCGAAGAATCGGAAGGTCTGGTTTAGAGAGTGGAGAGTACCCTGATTCCTCAGACACCACACCGCGGTGATGTTGTCCATGGAGATGGTCAACTGGGTGTGACGGAGAGTGCTCTGCCAGTGGGAGATGACCAGGATAAGAGCTTCTAATTCGAAGTTGTTGCTGTCCTAGTGGAGTCCATCTCCGGATGACAGCCCTGCAACCGTTTGAGTGTCAAAGTGAGCCCCCCAACCCTGATTGGATGCGTCGACAGGTGCAGTGTAGGCTGTAGCACGGTCAAGGAGATGCCGCCGTCTACCACCGGAGAAATGGGTGTAGGTGAACCAGGAGGTCGATGAGAATCTCCGGATCCTGGCACCAAATGAAGGCGGCGAGAAACTGTTGAATGGGACGGATTTGAAGGCGACCCCTGGCAGTCAGGTCTTGAGTCGAGGTGAGAAGGCCCAGGAGAGCAGGGCTGAGGTGGGCGAGGATTTTCAACCACCTGTCTCTGGGAACTTGAAGGACGTCCTGCTTCGTGAGAAACAGGCCACCGATGAACTGCAGACAAAGGGATGGGGTCAGCTCCCACTTTGCCGATTGATGATCCACCCCAACTGATGGAAGATTCGCAGGGTAAAATCCCTGTGGTGAAGTAGCAACTCCGAGGCCCGGTTGTTGAGAAGACAGTAGGGATGTAGGGATTGATGTTGACGTTCCTCAGGTGTAGATAGGCAGCCACAGGCTTGGTGATCCATGTGAAAAGCCACGGGGCCGTGGAAATTCCAAATGGTAATGGGTACCATTGAAAAAAACCTGAGGAATCGCCGGTCTTTGGGGTGGACAGGCACATGAAGATAGGCGTCCTGGATGTCGAGGCTGATCAGGGAATCGCATGCTTTGATTCTTGTCCTGAGCAGCCTCAACGTGGTCATCTGGAAGTAAGGAGGACTTACAGGTTAACACAGGTTGAAAATCGAGAGGTAGTGAATCATGCAAATTTTGGTGGTGCTCTTCTTGGAAACCAAAAATATCGGGGAGTAAAGTCATAGAGGTTGTGCACAACACGGCCTCTGAATCGGGTTGTGCAAAACCTCTATGGCCTCCTTCCGATGCAAGGTGTCGACACTGTCGCGAAGGAGATGATATTGGTGTGGTGAATATGCCGTCAGAGTGGACGTCAGAGGAGGATGTAGTGCCAATGGGAGCTGGTACCCCTGACGGAGGACGTTTGTCACGAACAGGTCCTCTAGTATCGTCCAATTTCTCCAAAACTGCCCCAGTCTCCCACCCATAGATGTGTCGGTGACCGGACAAATGGGGGTGGGAGGTCCCAGTCGTTGAAGTCCAATGGGTCAACGCTTGGATTTCGAATCGCCACCCTTGCTGGAATGACGATCAGATTGGGGATGGTAGGAACCACAGGACTTTCCACGACCATGCCCTAGGCCATGAAAGGGTGAGGTGTTTTTGGGAGCATCCTTGAGGGAGGAGCGGCAAGGTTTGTAATTGCCTCTGACTTGGCCGCTGACTGGTGGGTAACAGGGATCTGAGAGTCATTTCGTCCCTTGCAAAACTGGAGACACTAGCGTGGGTAGTGGTGATGGCGCCATTAAAGAGGGTACGTCCCGACCAGGTTTGACGTAGTAAAGATCGCTTGAACTCGGAATCCCATTCCGTGAGTGCCAAGTACCCTAAAAGTCTAGTAGCGGTTATCTCCGCCAGAGCGGTCCTCAGTTGATTTTGAGTTGAAAGGTCATGACGGTCAGTAAGTGGTCGATCCTATTACGATTGGACTCAGGGAGATCTTGGCCTATTGCTCTGGCGGAGGAGGCGAGAGTAGAGAGTGGTTTCAAAGAACGACGGAGTGGTGGGAATGGTGGCACGAGGTCGGGTTTGACCAGATAAAAATATTTGGTCGACATCGGTGCCCGGGGAGGGAGCGACAGAGGACAAATAGTCAGCCAGCCAATCAGCTACCTGGGACGTATGTCTCAATCTCGGGAGATCTCGGGAGATCATAATCAAGTCAAAAAGATCCCTCCGATGAAGAGGAACAACACCCATGTCTATGTACGGGTGAGCTACTTCTAGAACGATGGCAGAATCGAGAGGACTTGGAAGAGTGGCGCTGAGGCATTTGACGAATGAGGCCGGATGAAGAGTCAGTAATCAGGGCCGTTAGTGGCACCAGCATCGCAGGAGGCACCGCCGACGCTGCTGAGGCTGGAGTTGCTTGAGTAAACAGCAACTGCAGGAACGCTTGCATCCAGGTTGGATCCATGAAGGAAGACGGGAGCACATGTTGGGTTAAGTGTCCATAAATAATAGGCACCACAGATGTCCAATGCGCCAGAGGCGCCGCAGAAGTCCAAGGCGCCAGACGGCAAGGGAGGTGTAAAAGACATCAGTCATCTATCATGATGAAAGAGGCAGACTCTAAGTTGTAAGCTGTGTCTGGGCGTCGACGCACACATTGAGTGAGGCGTTTCATGGATACTCATAGATAAGGAACAAGGGACTGCAATATTGGCATTGCGCTGTGAGGGTACAAGGCATAGTACAGTCAAAGTAGCAGGGGTGGGGGTTTAGACTAGATTTGTTCCGACGGCAGTTAGAGCAGCGAGATATAAAGTCAATATGACGTACAAACACACATCCGGAAGCATAATGTAACTCAAAAATGTTTCATGTTATAAAAGTTTATAAGAGCAAACAATTACACTAAAAGGTAGGAAAAAAACAATGCCTTAAACATGCCAAAATAACAACTAAATTTAGTGTAATACCCAAGCCAAATAACAAATTCAAAACACAAAACACAAAGCACAAAACACGAAAGTACGTGGACATGTGGTGAATTGCACAAATGGAGGGAAAAAACAAAATGGCCGGAAACAACAATACACCTGTAAAGTACTGTGACTAAAGCCACAAATGAGCGATAAACATTACCAATTATGTATGGGAGGAACCCAAAGGTAACAAACCATAAACAATAAACAATATAGCAGCCTTCTGTTGTAGAAACAAAGCAAAGTTTGTAAAATAATGCTTTAATTTCAACAATGACTAAGTATACGTATGTCCGTGGAGGTTGACAAAGCAGTTATGTGTTTTGATGGTGACGTCATAACATCCGAGTCATGTGCCGACTGTGCAAGGGTGCCGCCTATACTGGTTGGCACACATTTTCTTCAGCAGCTGGATCTTACACAGTTCGTCTCTGTCAAGAGACAGCAGTAAATGCATTAAAGGGTAAATGCATATAAATGGTTATATTGTGTTGTGGCCGTAGGTATTGTTGTGGGCAGTGATGGTAAGAGGTTACATTGTTATGTGGCCATAGCTATTGTTGTGGGCATTGATGGTCGGAGGTTATATTGTCATGTGGCCGTAGGTATTGTTGTGGGCACTGATGGTCAGAGGTTATATTGTTATGTGGCCGTAGGTATTGTTGTGGGCAGTGATGGTAAGAGGTTATATTGTTATGTGGCCGTAGGTATTGTTGTGGGCAGTGATGGTCGGAGGTTATATTGTTATGTGGCCGTAGGTATTGTTGTGGGCAGTGATGGTCGGAGGTTATATTGTTATGTGGCCGTAGGTATTGTTGTGGGCAGTGATGGTCAGAGGTTATATTGTTATGTGGCCGTAGGTATTGTTGTGGGCAGTGATGGTTAGAGGTTATATTGTTATGTGGCCGTAGGTATTGTTGTGGGCAGTGATGGTTAGAGGTTATATTGTTATGTGGCCATAGGTATTGTTGTGGGCAGTGATGGTTAGAGGTTATATTGTTATGTGGCCGCAGGTTTTGTTGTGGACAGTGATAGTGAGAGGTTATATTGTCATGTGGCCGTAGGTATTGTTGTGGGCAGTGATGGTTAGAGGTTATATTGTCATGTAGCCGTAGGTATTGTTGTGGGCATTGATGGTAAGAGGTTATATTGTTATGTGGCTGCAGGTATTGTTGTGGGCAGTGATGGTTAGAGGTTATATTGTTATGTGGCTGCAGGTTTTGTTGTGGGCAGTGATGGTTAGAGGTTATATTGTTATGTGGCCGTAGGTATTGTTGTGGGCACTGATGGTAAGAGGTTATATTGTCATGTGGCCGTAGGTATTGTTGTGGGCAGTGATGGTTAGAGGTTATATTGTTATGTGGCTGCAGGTATTGTTGTGGGCACTGATGGTAAGAGGTTATATTGTTATGTGGCTGCAGGTATTGTTGTGGGCACTGATGGTAAGAGGTTATATTGTTATGTGGCCGTAGGTATTGTTGTGGGCAGTGATGGTCAGAGGTTATATTGTCATGTGGCCGTAGGTATTGTTGTTGGCACTGATGGTAAGAGGTTATATTGTCATGTAGCCGTAGGTATTGTTGTGGGCAGTGATGGTTAGAGGTTATATTGTTATGTGGCTGCAGGTATTGTTGTGGGCACTGATGGTAAGAGGTTATTTTGTTATGTGGCCGTAGGTATTGTTGTGGGCATTGATGGTTAGAGGTTATATTGTTATGTGGCTGCAGGTATTGTTGTGGGCAGTGATGGTCAGTGGCAACAAATGAAGTGCTTGTACAATATGGATTGTGGCAGAGCCTGGATTGTTACTGGTACACTTTGGTGAGGTGGAATACCCAAACACTACAGTCAATACCATCAATTCAAAACTAGAAAGAGGATTTTGTCTTTCTGCCACACCTGTTTGTGTCGGAGTTCCATCTTTATCCGAGGATCGTGCTTCTTCCTCTGCTCCTCCTCCCCAAGGCCAAGGTCGTTGAGGAACTCCTCCCTCACCACCGGCTTCTGCATCATGTTGCTCAGTATCATCCCAACAGCATCCTCGTCATCAGAGTAGTTTAGGGTGGAGTAGGGGTCTATAACCATAGCACAAATATGCATCACTCTGTGACATGATAGCAGTGAGGACTGTGCTATTTAACACCGCAAGTTAAACGCAAATAATGGGTTCTGATGCATTTTATCCAACTGCCATGTAGGTAACTAGTAAGCACCAAACTCACTGACTATCAACCATCCCATTTAATTGTAGTTGTTCTAAACACATCACCAGTAATATACTTGTAGAAATAATTTGGACACCAAAAAGATTGTAATTATATCATTTTACTGCAATGCATTTTTTGGAGTAGTGAAGTCAGAATTCTGATAACGTACAAGATTCTTGGTTGTTTCCTAGTACATTAGTTTTGATGTTTCAAATATTTGTTATCTACGTTTATTACTTGCCCATGAAGAGATCACTCGTTTAATAAACATACAGCTGTATTACACATTGTGTAATACCAAAGCATGTGCTTATGTCCTGCGGGAACAAGTTTCACAATAAATAATGAAAACTCTCAACATCGCTGGACTTTTTCAACGACATTGCGTGTAGAGATGACAGATCACTGAGAGGACCTTATACACACTAGATGACCCCATCAACCCTGTTGCGAGGCTGACGACACATGACAGACATTGTTCTGCCGGTGGACCTTGCAAAAATATTCCACAAATTATGTCGCCACAAGGCGATCTTAGCACAACGACACTCTATGTATATGAATGTTATGGATAACCTTGGGACTACAAAAGTTTCTGAGAAATGGACTCCTGAATTCTGAACATACTAAAGGTGGACCATTGTGTGGTATGAAAATGTATTTTTTTAGGGTACAAATATCATATATACGTATCCTGACTCCTACTAATGATTATATCTCTCTTTTCCGAATAGGTAGTGGAAACTTCCTGTGCTGTGTTCCCAGAGAACAGAGAAAACAGCTCACCCAAACACACCCTTACTCTGCGCATGCGCTCCAGAACCATGTGACCAAGCCCAGTAACTCATCGCTCTCTCTATTTTCCTACTTAATGGTCCATAACACATCAGTGGAAAGAGGGGAAGACCGGGAGGGTACTTATATGTATGAGTCAGGATAAGTATAAATGATATTTTTACTCTAAGAAATACATATTTTATATTTTCCTGACTCATACTTATGCTTGAATCTCACAGTAGGTGGTGGGTTCCACCTGTATGTGTGATTAACATCGGTCTGTTCTATAAAACCCCATGGGATCGTTGTTAATCTTCTGTGTTGTTTCTTTTATTGGGGTACCACCTTCCTTTTATGTGAGCAGCAACAATGTAAGTAAATCATATAGATTTGTGGATTTGTAGGGTTTCCAAGATTCTAGAATCTTGTTCCCTTAAACGATTAGGGTGTTAAGAGAAGAGCAATAATCTTAACACAATTGTTTCTCACTCATGTGCTGACTTACATATTAAAACAGGGGTTATGGACCCTCAGTCGTTGGTTATGGAACAGTAACCTGATGTCAACAAGTCTACTTGATATTGGGTGAGTGTGATCTTTTAGTGTCGTCTGGTAGGATTTGTGCCACAAACAATGGTCCGAATTGGTGAATACCAGCTAAGACTTCTGTGGCAGGTCTCTGAGCTAGTGATTGGCAAAAACTGTAGCTGATTTCCAGAAACAGCCTTCCATAACTGTGGTATGGAGAAGTGCCAAAGTAGAGGCTAAGGCTCTTACTTCGTGAGGGTTGGAGGCTGAAGGGGGGGTCCAATCCCGCTGCTCTGTATGCTCTGAGAATAACAGCTCTCATTCTGGATACTTCTGTGTGTGTATTCCTTAACAAAGGAATAACAGGTCTCTTTAAACCTTGTCTTCTAGATTAAACTTTTGTAGGTATATTCTTAAGGCTCTGACCGGGCAGAGGGATAAATCATCTGTATCATTTGCAACCAGGATGGAGGAAAGAGCCTGTCTAGTTGGCCTGGTAACTGGTTCTTTGCAATAAAGTCACATCTTAAGCCAAAGTACACTGATGTGTTGTTAGAACTGTCAAATGTAATGAGATTGAAGTCTATCGCATGGATCTAAAGACATTCTGGCAACCGTAGCTAATGCCAGAAGAAATAGGGTTTCCAAAGGCGTCCAAAGTCAGCCTGCTTGAGAGGTTCGTATGCATCACTTGTTAGGCGTTGTAGCACTATATTCAGGTCCCACGCTTGGGCTCTAAATATTTTCTGTTAGTGTTCAAGTCCGAAAGATCTGAGTAGAGCTTTTCAGTTCGGGAACTTTAGTAAGTTTTATCCTGTTAGCCATAGTCAGTTCAGAACTGATAGCAGCCAAATAAGTGCACGGTGTCAAACCTTTAAGATTCCTTGTACTTCTTAAGTGACATAGGCAATCTGCTACTTGTGGTATAGTAGCTTTAGCTGCAGAAAACCCTTGGATCACGCAAACTGGTCAAAACTTTTCCATTTATCGTCAAAGAGATTTCTTGTTGATCTACTAGGTGCTAAGGAGACTGACTTTGCTGCTCTAACAGAATATCCTCTTTTTACGAGACAGCTCTTGATAAGTTCCATACGTGATGTTCGTATAGATCTGGTTTTGGCCGGACCTGATTGGAGTGAGAATGTAGCAGTAGATTTGGCCAGATTGGAAGCTTTAGTATTGGATTCCCTGCTAGTTCGACAAGTTCTCGCCGGACAGTAAGGTGCTACCAAAAGTAGCTGTAGGATGCTCTTGTGTTGGATTTTTTTTGTATTATCCGTGGTATCAAAGCTGGTGGGGGTAACGCATATGCGTTTAGGCTCTCCCATGATATTGACAGAGCATCAATTGACCAGGCTAATGGGTCTGGAGCTGGTGATGCAAATGTTATCTGATTTTTTAATCTGGTTGCAAATAGGGCTATTAGAGGGCAACCTTTTTCTTTTATTACCAATTGGAATACTTCTGGGAGTAGCTTCAATTCTGTCAGTGATGGTTTGGCTGGTCTGGATAAGGCGTCTGCTAAGATATTTGTCGCTCTCGGTATATGTCTTGCCGTTATCGTTAAGTTCAGATTGTCTACCAGCTCGTAAAGTTGAAACGTCAACTTCAGAAGGGTCTCTGATTTCATCGTGCCTTAAAGATTTATATTGTATGCCACAGTTGAACAGTCTGTTCTGATCATCAGACGGTGGTTTCTTAACTGTGGGGCCCAGTGAAATATTGCATGGATTACTGCCTCGTATTCCAGATAATTGATGTGTTAGAACTTTTCTGCTTCTGACCATAGGCCTGCTGTTTACTTCTCTGTATTGCTGTTACATAGCCATTACAACTTGTTGTTTCATATTTGCTATAATATCTGTATTAATAGCTGGCATTGGCAATGTACCTTGTGTAAAAAAGGTAGGTTGCGCAAATGTATTAGGTAGTGTAAACGCTGGTGGCTGCACGAAGGCAGGAGCCTGCATGAATGCTGGCGTTGGTGTAAACAAAACAATCGTTAGATATGATGTATAGAATAGTGCAGAAGATAATCCTAGCAAAACATTTTGTTAAAAAAGGTTAATTTTGGATTATGGAGCACAGGAAAAAATTCCATCTACGCAGATAGCATGAAAATGAGAGAGTAATGAGTTATTGGTCTTGGTCACATGGTTCCGGTGCGCATGCGTGGAGCAAAGGTGCATTTGGGTGAGCTGTTTCCTCTGTTCTCTGGGAACACAACTCAGGAAGTTTTCACTACCTATTCGGAAAAGAGAGAGATAAGCAAAAGTATGAGTCAGGATAAGATCAAATTTAACAAGTATTTGTCACAGAGTGACGAAATATCCCCCGCCATATACACCATAGTACCAAATATGAAGACAATCCAGCGATTAGTTCTTGAGATATTGTGGCAACACCGTTTTCCAACTCCAAAAACAGATTTGCCTGCTGTGACCTTGAAAATGGGGTCAAGGTCACCAAATCTGACAGGTGTATGCGGTGTCTGTATATACACTATAGTTCCAAATATGAAGACAATCCAGCAATTAGTTCTTGAGATATCGCGGGAACACCGTTTTCCAACTCCAAAAGCAGATTTGCCTGCTGTGACCTTGAAAATGGGGTCAAGGTCACCAAAACCGACTGGTGTCTGCGGTGTCTGTATATACACCATAGTTCCAAATATGAAGACAATCGAGAGGTTTAGTTCTTGAGATATCGCGGCAACACCGTTTTCAAACTCTAAAAGCAGATTTGCCTGCTAGGACCTTGAAAATGGGATCAAGGTCACCAAAACCGACTGGTGTCTGCGGAGTCTGTATATACACTATAGTTCCAAATATGAAGACAATCCAGTGTTTAGTTCTTGAGATATCGCGGCAACACCGTTTTCCAACTCCAAAAGCAGATTTGCCTGCTGTGACCTTGAAAATGGGGTCAAGGTCACCAAAACCGACTGGTGTCTGCGGTGTCTGTATATACACCATAGTTCCAAATATGAAGACAATCCAGTGTTTAGTTCTTGAGATATCGCGGCAACACCGTTTTCCAACTCTAAAAGCAGATTTGTCTGCTGTGACCTTGAAAATGGGATCAAGGTCACCAAAACCGACTGGTGTCTGCGGAGTCTGTATATACACCATAGTTCCAAATATGAAGACAATCCAGTGTTTAGTTCTTGAGATATCGCGGCAACACCGTTTTCCAACTCTAAAAGCAGATTTGTCTGCTGTGACCTTGAAAATGGGATCAAGGTCACCAAAACCGACTGGTGTCTGCGGAGTCTGTATATACACCATAGTTCCAAATATGAAGACAATCCAGTGTTTAGTTCTTGAGATATCGCGGCAACAAACAGGTGGGACGTACGGACGTACGGACGGTCGTGAATACTATATCCCCCGCTTCGCGCTTTCGCGCGGCGGGGGATAATAAGTATCAACTTTTGACTTGTTTGAAGTATTATTCTCTTAAATTCAAATGGACTATGCTGTGGATTGTGTCAATGTCTGCCCTATTCATACATGACAGTGAAATTCTAAAAAGGTTATTAACAGCAAGTAATAAATAGAATACTAAACTCGCTGCCATGTTATGACTATTTTTGCTCGTCAAATTCCAGAACTCTTCATTCGTTTCCTAAAGCTGGTATGACACATGAGCTCATTTAGTATTCTATATATAGATACTGAGAGAATGCTCTAACTGAATACTTTCTACATCTCATTGAAACCAATGACAAATGTAATTTATTTTAACCATTTCCCAAAACTGCTATTCTTGATGATATATATACGTAACAACATACTTTTGTACAGAATAACATGTCTTACTTGAACAAACTGAATGAGGAAGATGCTATGTAAACATGGAGTCCACCTCACTGTTTCAGTGTGTTTATACTGGTATTCCAAAAGACAACTCAATGCAGAAAACAGGAAAACACTGCTGATGGTGCTCTTTTGTACCTCTATTTGGTATTTTGATCTTTGACCTTGGTGTGACATCCAGCTGCCAGTCATTGACACTGTTGTCAAGGAGATGATCCCATTCCCTCTTGACCTCTGCCTGCACTGCCCTCTGATGCCAAGGGTCATCTTCATCACCATCATCATCCACATGAAGTTTCTCTTGCATCCAGTTGCTAAGGAGGTCTTGAGCTAAAAACAAAGTTATGCACATGCAGAGTTTGAACCATGTAACTAGTCAGTTCTCACCAGGGATCCGGTGAATGAACATTTGTGTGTTGGTCACGCCCACCTCATATTTGACAGTTGCTGGTGGACGTTCATGTATGAATAAAAAAATAAAAGAATGAAGTCAAGGGTCACTTTCACAACATATATCATATTTTCTTGAGTACACTGCACACTTTTCCCCAAAAAACACACCACAATGAGTCTTTGTGTTTATTCCCCAACACAAACTAAAGACATTTTCATGAGCATATAACACCAGAAATACCATGTCATCAAATCTGTACTGAAAAACACAATTAATGCTGTTATTACGCTATCTGTGTTCATTGTATATACAGACTAATGTTTGTAATCTATTTTATTAAATTCATTCAAAATATCATTCAATATTGTTAACATTAATTTCGGAGAAATCATGAGTGAAGTGATCGTAGATTGCACAACTCCTATTATTTACAGCAACAACATGAACAATGGTCAGATTACCGATATTGACACCTTGACATGAACTAAAGCTGACAGAGAAAGGATACAATAATCATAAACGCCACACTTTGACACATTAAAATTCTTATTTGTCGTAGTTTGACTATCATATATGCCAACATAACGTTTTTGCAAGTCTGCGGGAAGTCTCCCCGGTGACATGTTAAATTGTTCCATGCATAAAAACTATCCGGCAATAGCAATCAGCTGTTCCAAAGTACTACTCTTATGGTTATTAATATTATAAATATATATGGTAAAAGCTGCAACTAAAATAACACAATACTGAAATATATCATGTCTGATAAAATAATAGTTTCAAATACATTTCTTCCTATCATTGCATCAAAAGTGTTTGAGTTAGTATTATTGTGTATGTATAAATCGAATCACCGGTAGATTGGAAGAAAATATGTGTACATGTGATTGCTATTTCCGGCTTAGACTACGAGAAAATACACACCTTAATTATAATTTCTGCATATAAAATAATGCCTAGCAGAACAGTAAATACAATTTAAATGGTTAATCATCATGTCTGCTGATATTTTATCTCAAATTTCACATTTTTATTGACCAATTTAAGTTTGTTAACACCTGAATTCCTTGAAGGGATAGGATGTAGTTTTTTACCATGGATTATAATATGATGTTGTTGATAGTACACGGTAGTCCATGCAAGTTGTGTATACACTAAGCAACAAGAAAAGCACTTGTCAGCCTGACTTGCTTCTCTTCATTTTATATCCTTTGTTATGATATTCAGTCTCAGGTTGTAATGTCCAGAAAGCATTTTCTCAAAAACATCCTCTTGGCAATTTTTAAAATATCTGGTTTGCACTTTTTCAAAGCAGACATTTTGCAGTCACAACCAGACATGTCCGGACACTATCTATCGCTTTGATCACATTTGAACAGAAAAGATTGTTTGGGCATCAAGGCAGACATGGATAGTGACAGGCAACCCCACCTTCTGACAGAGCTGAATCATGCTCTTGCACTTGTTGTCTTGTTTGCAGGGCTGCATACTTCCCTCTCTCCCTTCCAGAGTAATGGTTCAGCCCAAAGACAGCCTCTGTTGCTTTGTCTGAGGCTTGTTCCACTTTCTAAATGGAAGGTTGAAGTAATTTTATCACAAGTGTGTGAGTGAGCAGCTTTCAGCACCACCTTTAGAATTATTTCAGCCAGACCACCCTGAGGGAGCCAGGGAATAGCGTCACAAATTGTACCCATGTGAGACATCCATCCTGGGTCTTCAGCATAACAAGCCAACTCCTTAATGAACAGACTACCCCACCACCCCAAGTATCCGGAGCAGTGTACATGGTGTACAAATCAAGAATTAAATATTCGGAAAACTGCTGTAAAAACATGGTTAAAGTTAAATGTATATGCTGTGTTACTAAAAGTGATTACCATCAAAATGTTTTAATAGTTTTAGCACCAAATTAGGGTTGGTTGGAGTGTGTGAGTGAGTGAATATGGTTTTACGCCGCTTTTAGCATTATTCCAGCAATATCACAGCGGGGGACACCAGAAATGGGCTTCACACATTGTACCCAAGTCGGGCGTCTTCGGCGTGACGAGCGAGCGCTTTAACCACTAGGCTACCCGACCGCCCCAGGGTTGGTTGGATGATATTTTGCTCTCAGAATTATCAGTGTACAAGTAAGCCAATTGGTAACTTTAGCGTATGTACAAGTCATTGAACAATTGCACCTAGCATGCTTATATCTAATTGTCATCAACCAATTTGGGTATGGATCAATCGACCTACCTTTAGAACACTGTACCACAAACTTTTCAAACACGTGACAATACCCTATGACGTAGTTTGTGGTATTTTGTTGCCAGTCACACCGTCGAAATAATGCCCTGTGACGTCAGGGGTCATCAAGTGTGCATAAGTTCCTCCCAGTGATCTATCATCTCTACATGCAATGTTATTGAATACGTCCAGCGGTGTTGAGAGTTTTGAATATTTTTTTACTAAATATAGCCTGCGGCGGTGCATTTTATAGCAAGCGCTAGTTTACGAAAGCACTTTTATTTTTAGTTATTTTTTATTTCGTTTTTGTCGTAATTCAAGTGGCTAAAATGGTTATAAATGGAAACTAATATACATATATTATTTTTTCGGTTCATTAATTTTCATTATTATGAACATGAATGCAGTTTATTGGGGATATTATATTGGCGCTGAACACATCGAAATGTCGCCAGTGTTAGGGTAGGCTACCCTAAACTCTATCCTTAGCCCTTGGATCCCCTTTACGATCAATCACCCCTTTACGATCATTAGGGTTAGGTACCCATTTAGTGGCTATTGGATTACCCAAACTCTATCCTTGGCCGAGTGTGCCAAATGGCATTGGGATCATTCGTAAGTGTCCGTAGACTAAAGTCACGAGACACCATGCCTACCCATAACCTTCGTAAGTGTCCATCACCTATTCAACCCTTTTCGTTCAGTTCCGTAACGTCGTAGGCATAACTAGGTAAATTTACACCTTGTTTCGTGTCCGGCGGATTCTCACAAAAACTGGTTGCTTGTCTTTGAGATATGTGACCTACGGCAGATATTGTTGTTGTGGTACTGTATTCTAAAGGTGCTCCGGTCAATCAAATCTCCAAGGTACACCGGTATATTGTGGTGCAAATGTTCAGCAAAACGTATTGCGATATGTTTGTAAATGTAGCAATATATAGGGGAAAATATAAATAAGTATATGTGTTCCTTATCAATATGGAGATGAAAAATACTATCTTTCTGATACAATTTGCCTCTGACGATCTTTTTATCAATTAGTTCAAGAGTAGTAGGATACCGTTAGCTAACAGTGTGATTGTCCGATATGGATCTGTTACACGATTTAACAAACAAAAACAAGCCTTACTTTTATCCAATCCTGAATATCATCTTGGGTTTTGCAGTTCTGAAAAAGAAATGGTGAACGGATATATACAGATTTTATTTTTATTTGCAGTATCTCTACATCAAAATGTCGAAAATATCAACAAATGTTAGTCCATCGCAGTTTTCAAATAACGAAAACGATAAACAGCTGTTTAAGCAACGCTGATGTTGTGGTTCGGTTAGCAGGTGGTTAGACCATCAGTACAACTGTCAAAGTCACTAGCGAAAGGCCAAGTTGGCAAGTTTAACAATGAAATTTTGTGTGGCGACTGTAATCATGATGGCACCTGTGAGCGAGAATATACTCTTGAAGAGGACTTTGGGGGTTGCCTTTTCCATTTATAAAGACCAGATTTATGAATGTCATCATCCATCGCAGATATTTCAAAACGTTCCGTAGCAAGTAAGGCACTTGTTCATGCAAGCCGCCATGTCTAAACAACACGGTTGTATTAAAAGAACCCAAGTAGTTTCAACGAAACGAAGTTTATGCAATTCGTCATGAAGGCACAAGCGAAATCGTAGCAGCAGCACATTAACTATATATTTCCATGTTTATTACCAATCTACAACACGAAAACATTTATGTAAAAGATGTATGAGTGTGAAATGAGTGACATAAAAGTTTTTGTACTTTGTTAAATGTCTTCGTGTTTAGCCTTCGATTCCTCATACATGGTACGATCATGACAATATGTGTGATGCCCATGCATGTGTGGTGTCCCCCGCTGTGATATTGCTGGAATAAAAGCGGCGTATAACAAAACTATCTCAATATTAACCCCTTAGTTTTATTGATAATGAGCAGTAGGGGATAAAAAATCTTAATTCCCTTAGAATAGGGGTAGGGAGGTTAATGGTTCTGCAAGCTTTCCATCCGACAAAATCCTAAAAAACTTATGGAATTGATATTATTTGTTCGACATCTGTTTCTTTCAGTTTGGAAACGTGTGAGATCATGTACGATACGAAACTACATTGGGGTCTGTTCATTGCACAGGGAGTCGAGTCGAAGGAGATGAGGACTTCTGGTAGCTATAAGCACGGACCTTTAAGGTTCACACAAATGACCCATAAAACCTCCAAATGTAAAGCAATCGAACAATGACCCAAAACAACACAACCTGGACTATCCAGTGTTGTTTATCCCCATGATATTTTGATAAATACAAAACATTATAAACAATTCTTTACTTTGATTGAAATTATTTCCAGAAATTACGAAATCTATAGATAAATAGGAGTCACAAAGAATGGGTTAGTCAACAGAGAAAATCCATACAACTCGAATTTAGAACATCTCTGAGGATTCAATGAAAATGCATCTTCCTTAACAACAAGAGTGATTATTTTTTATTTGATTCTTGGTTCAGTCAGATTCAGAATGACCATTTTCGAAGAACCCACTTATTTACATGGCGTCAGTGATCACGTGGTACAACCACGGGAGGAAACGAGACTTGAGGCAATCGGGAGGTAGGTCAATTTTCATTAAATGATATTTCTTGAAAATTTTCTATTTCTTTCGTGGACCAGTGTAAAACGTGTTGACAAGGAACCGAAAGAGCCTGTACTATATGCGTTTGTGGGTTTTATTTTGGTTTGATGCGTATAAGTTAGTGTTTTGTCCGAAAAAGTGTGAGGGGAAATCGAGGTCAACTTGCCCCCCACCCACTCGGGCCGACGATGGTGGTACCTTCCTAAACTGCATTATTTGCCGTGAAATGGGTCCGTCCTTTATGGATCAGTCTACCTAAGGGGTGCGGGGTCGCTAATGGGTTTAGAAGATTCCAAATGTCACGGACAGTACCATCTTAGTTCGATTAAATCATATAGTTGTGGGGATATATCTAATATTGTATAAAAATGCGGCTTGGTCGCCATTAGCATAATTTATATCGCAAGCTCGACATGTCGGCCATATCAGTGGAAGCCGTCGGATCAAAAGTGGCATTGCGCTCCAAGTTTGATCTCGTTCGATCACATAATAAGACTTTTTCAAAAGTTCGAATTATTTTTCACAATTTACTCCCATATTTATTTCCTTGTTAATTCCAAACACAGAAGAAATGTGTAACCAATTAATCGTAAGATTAGCTCAGTGAATAGTTGCAGCGACTGAAATGTTTGTGGAGGGCCCGTGACCTTTCCGCACTGACAGATGTTTTGTCAATGGGACCTTCCCACCCATACCCCCTCTTGTCTTTAATGACAGAGACAGCTTCCCTATTGGATGTGCCCATTTAATATCATGGGGTGAAAGTCAGAAAGCCTTTAATTACTCAGTGAAATCTGTTTCACACAAACAAACAAAAGGTTCATGTATTAAACAAGTAAAACAATATCACATTACACTTGCATTTTAATTTTAAAATGTATTTTATTAATTAAGGCTTTCCTGTGCATGGAGTTGTCAAATATAAGGCTACTTTCATTGTCAATTAAACTATGGAAATTAAGAAAAAAACATGTTTTTCTTTTCACTTAAGATGGCAACTTTCAATATTCGCCAGTTTATAAGTTGTATTATTTTTTCAGACATACTAAATTAGTAAATATCATGTGTGGATTACTAACCCTATATATATATATATATATATATATATATATATATATATATATATATATACTGACCTCATAGGCCTATTCAGAGCACCGAGAAATTAATATTGATGGGCATAATTGTGTTGCATATAAAACCAAATGTAGTAAATTAAATTATATTTATATGCCTTCATTATCTATATCAGATACTTTTCTTTTAGGAACTTGCAATGTTAGACACTTACATGGGTTGGTCCAGGGAATTATTGCTATAGGGTTGACTAGAACCCTTGACTTTTTAGAACCCTGATTTGCATGGGAAAAAAATAACTAAAATGATCATGCAGGTAACCAATCTGAACATGAATTAGACATACATAAACATGATAAAGTCTCATTGAGATGATTTACCATGTGATATCTGCAATCTCTTATGCAGACTACCTTTAGCACAGAATGTTAATTTCTGCTCATGAAAATAATTTCATTGGACATCTGTTTGTAGCTTCACAGCATTTCAATCAAACTCAAAACTAACTATGGCAGCAAATGGGTCCAGGGTATTTGTCTCTTCCGGATGGAGACATAATACTTGGTAATTGGGGATGACTTGCATGGAGCAATGGCATAACTATACAATTTGAAACATAAAATTTATTATTACTATTTGCGTTACATGCCTAAGGAATAATGTTACATCAAAGACTCAGGGATTTGCGCTAACAACACTCAATATGATGTCTATGAAATCGAGCGTACTGTTCATATTTATCATGGCAGTGGGTCATGTGACTGCATCACAATGTTTCATTTCATGTCTTTCAGGTAAAACTACAAATTTCCACAAGAATACCTGCTGACTAACGAGGATGGAGGACCCCCCAAGTCCTGCCAGTAACCATAACTGGGAACAGCCAGATCAGAGCCAATTTGTCACAGCATCCTCGTCCTCAATGAATCCAGCATCGCCAGAACCGCAACATCCACAGCAGTATGAAACCAACAACGCGCAACCCATGCAGGCTTATAACCAGGTACAGGATGTGTAATGCCTTGTCTATGTGGTGTGTCACGGATGCAGGCTTATAACCAGGTACAGGATGTGTAATGCCTTGTCTATGTGGCGTGTCACTGATACAGGCTTATAACCAGGTACAGGATCTGTAATGCCTTGTCTACGTGGTGTGTCACTGATGCAGGCTTATAACCAGGTACAGGATCTGTAATGCCTTGTCTATGTGGTGTGTCACTGATGCAGGCTTATAACCAGGTACAGGATCTGTAATGCCTTGTCTATGTGGTGTGTCACTGATGCAGGCTTACAACCAGGTACAGGATCTGTAATGCCTTGTCTATGTGGTGTGTCATTGATGCAGGCTTACAACCAGGTACAGGATCTGTAATGCCTTGTCTATGTGGTGTGTCACTGATGCAGGCTTATAACCAGGTACAGGATCTTTAATGCCTTGTCTATGTGGTGTGTCACTGATGCAGGCTTATAACCAGGTACAGGATCTGTAATGCCTTGTCTATGTGGTGTGTCACTGATGCAGGCTTATAACCAGGTACAGGATCTGTAATGCCTTGTCTATGTGGTGTGTCACTGATGCAGGCTTACAACCAGGTACAGGATGTGTAATGCCTTGTCTATGTGGTGTGTCACTGATGCAGGCTTATAACCAGGTACAGGATCTGTAATGCCTTGTCTATGTGGTGTGTCACTGATGCAGGCTTATAACCAGGTACAGGATCTGTAATGCCTTGTCTATGTGGTGTGTCACTGATGCAGGCTTATAACCAGGTACAGGATCTGTAATGCCTTGTCTATGTGGTGTGTCACTGATGCAGGCTTATAACCATGATAACCAGGTACAGGATCTGTAATGCCTTGTCTATGTGGTGTGTCACTGATGCAGGCTTATAACCAGGTACAGGATCTGTAATGCCTTGTCTATGTGGTGTGTCACTGATGCAGGCTTATAACCAGGTACAGGATCTGTAATGCCTTGTCTATGTGGTGTGTCACTGATGCAGGCTTATAACCAGGTACATGATCTGTAATGCCTTGTCTATGTGGTGTGTCACTGATGCAGGCTTATAACCAGGTACATGATCTGTAATGCCTTGTCTATGTGGTGTGTCACGGATGCAGGCTTATAACCAGGTACAGGATCTGTAATGCCTTGTCTATGTGGTGTGTCACTGATGCGGGCTGACAACCAGGTACAGGATGTGTAATGCCTTGTCTATGTGGTGTGTCACTGATGCAGGCTTATAACCAGGTACAGGATGTGTAATGCCTTGTCTATGTGGTGTGTCACTGATGCAGGCTTATAACCAGGTACAGGATGTGTAATGCCTTGTCTATGTGGTGTGTTACGGATGCAGGCTTATAACCAGGTACAGGATCTGTAATGCCTTGTCTACGTGGTGTGTCACTGATGCAGGCTTACAACCAGGTACAGGATCTTTAATGCCTTGTCTATGCGGTGTGTCACTGATGCAGGCTGATAACCAGGTACAGGATCTGAGATGGTGGTGCTTGTTGTGGTACTGCCAGTAGTTCTCCCATGCAGAGTATGGTACTACTGAGTGACAAGCATGATCAGTGATGAGAAGTTTCTAGGTGAAGGGAAACAAGTAGGCATGGGATCCAATGTTTACCTTCTGATTTATTAAGAGATGAGATAATGTTGTCATGCTAAAATCTGTGATGTTCTTAAAAATTTCCACAGGCTGCTGAGTATGAGGAGACTCACTACCATTCTATGAGACCTGCGGCTACATTCTCCGGGGAGTACAGCGGATCCCAGTCAGATGTGTACCAGGCTGCCCACTCCACGTACGAGAGGATATCCCCAGTAGACGACTACCGCGAAGTGGCAGCAGCTGCAGGGAGTGATGGGATATCGTCCTACTCCACGATTCAGCCGGCGGAAACAGCCCAGGTTATACGTATGTCGGCTGTAGACAGCAGTTCCCTACAACAACAGGTACCTGCAGTTACACAAAGATCCCTTATTGCTTAAACCCTCACATGGTTTTCTTTTCAAACATTTTCAATATTACTGTTGTGAGGAGCAGATGACTAAAATCATTTCCCAAAAGATGTTTCAGAATTCCTGTTTCCCTTCAGAGGAAAAGAATTAACAAAGAAATAATTAGTATAGATGTTTCCTCTTTATTTGTTTGAGAGAAATGACTTTGGTTGAAGTGAAATTATGAGTAACAGTTTCAGGCTACATAGAACATATAGGATCTGGTGGAGTTCCAGTAGTGTATTAGATTAACATGCTCTTGTTTCTCAGGGTTATCAAGTCCATCAAGTGGTATTGGACCAAGATCACCGTGTAGTGGCTGTACAGAGAGTTATCTCCCCTGCTGACTGCACCGTCAGCCAATCATCTCTCAGCCTCAGACAAGATGGCTCCGAGGCACAGCCCAACACAGCTTTACTGCCTGTTGTGAGAGTTATCTCCCTTTGTTTGTAATGTTAGAACATCAATACTTTAACATAAATTTTATTTCCTCTGTTAGTGACAGTGAAGCATATGAGAAGCAATGAGCTGAGTATATACACGTGTATGTGAAAATGCCAAACGATGGATTCGGTTTCCTTAAGGTTACAAAACACAGACTAAATCTATTTTTTTTTTATAGAAACGTTTCATTCATGTGGATTTCATGGGTATAAGATTGAATTTCTCTAACAAAAGAAAACTTGTGACATCCATGTGCTGTCATGGTGTTGTAGCAACCGCAGCCAAGTGGTGCCCCGTCCTATGTGACAGTGCATGTGACGTCCATGCCACAGTTTGCGTCACACGGCGAAGTGAGCACCTCGGGAGACTCCCCTCTCATGTCACAGTCGGCCACACTGGAGGACAGGGACACCCACAGAGCGGTAGGTCACAATCTGTCACAAGAACTGATTACATTCCTAACTTCTGATCAATAGACTGATGCCCAATTGCAGGAGAATGACCCCTTTGCAGTATTATGATCAATCATGAAAGTCTATTGGCTCTTCTTGTAACATTTCTGTTAAAATTACAGATTGGAGTATTCTAAATTTAAATACTAAATTTGTTTGTAACGCTGCTGAGGTGGGTGTTTTCAAACCCTGACAGCAATGATCACTGACGCATTTCTTTTTGTATGCTTGCTCTGGCCAAATGCTCTACATTTAATGTAGCCCATGAAGAGCCGGGCTAGAACAGGTCTTCAGCAACCCATGCTTGCTTTAAAAAGCAACTTTGCTGGTCGTAAGAGGCATCTAACGGAATCAGGTGGTCAGACTCACTGACTTGGTTGATGCATGTATTTGTATCCCAATTGCGTGGATCGATGCTCATGATGTCAACCACTGGATTGTCTGGTCCAGACTCGATTATTTACAGACCGCGATCATATAGCTGGAATATTGCTGGGTGCAGTGTTAAACAACGAACAAACAAACATGTAATGTAGACTGGAAGTGTAATGGCTCTGGTAGAGGATTTGTAGGTGTGTGTGTTGCAGGATGGCCGAGACCTTGACAGTCTGAGTGGGGAGCCAGACACCACGCAAGAGGATGTCCATGACTACAGCAATGCACACGGTATGTACAGACCACAGCGACACAGGACTAACACAATAGCAACACACATAGTATGTACACACAACACACAGTATGTACAGACCAACACACAGTATGTACAGACCAACACACGGTATGTACAGACCAACACACGGTATGTACAGACCACAGCGACACAGGACTAACGCAATAGCAACACACATAGTATGTACAGACCAACACACGGTATGTACAGACCAACACACGGTATGTACAGACCAACACACAGTATGTAGTACAGACCACAGCGACACAGGACTAACACAATAGCAACACACATAGTATGTACAGACCAACACACGGTATGTACAGACCACAGCGACACAGGACTAACACAATAGCAACACATAGTAAGTACACACAACACACAGTATGTACAGACCAACACACAGTATGTACAGACCAACACAAGGTATGTACAGACCAACACACGGTATGTACAGACCAACACACAGTATGTAGTACAGACCACAGCGACACAGGACTAACACAATAGCAACACATAGTAAGTACACACAACACACAGTATGTACAGACCAACACACGGTATGTACAGACCAACACACGGTATGTACAGACCAACACACAGTATGTAGTACAGACCACAGCGACACAGGACTAACACAATAGCAACACACATAGTATGTACAGACCAACACACGGTATGTACAGACCACAGCGACACAGGACTAACACAATAGCAACACATAGTAAGTACACACAACACACAGTATGTACAGACCAACACACAGTATGTACAGACCAACACAAGGTATGTACAGACCAACACACAGTATGTAGTACAGACCACAGCGACACAGGACTAACACAATTACAACACAAATAGTTAGTACAGACCAACACACGGTATGTACAGACCAACACAGGGTATATACAGACCAACACACGGTATGTACAGACCACAGCGACACAGGACTAACGCAATAGCAACACACATAGTATGTACAGACCAACACACGGTATGTACAGACCAACACACAGTGTGGACAGAGCACAGCGACACACACAGCTACAATTAGGTACATTTAATCCTGGTATGGCAGCACCCAAAAACAAATACAGGGATTTTAAAAAACCCTAAAGCAATATCTTTAAGTACAAAGAAGTAATTCCCTCAACAAAACATATGGGCTGCTGACAGGAGATCCTGGCAGACATCACACCTTGACCTGGTTCCCTGGATGTTGCAGCATCCCGTGGCTACCTGCACCCCTCCACCTCCTACACCTCCACCACCTCCGCCATGGACTCGGAGGCCCTGCACTCCACCATGCCAGGACCCTCCTCCCTCACCACCTCCAGCAGCCATGTGGTGATGGACGCCACCATGGACAGCAGCCACCTGGCCTCCTCTTCCTCGCACGAGGTGGCCATGAGCACCTCACTCGACACCTCACTCCACACGCCAGGGGACGTCATCGTCATGGAGGCCGGCATGGATAGGTCAGTCGGGAGCTCAGCTATAGGACCAGACCTAGGTGAGAGAATATGTCGGCCGGATAACCGGACATTGGCATGCCAGATGTAGCATGGATGTGTTTGGAATAAGGAGAGTACCAGTGGACAGAGTGAGGTAGTTAAAATAGCAGCAACATTGCCTCCATAACTATCAGCATCAGCTCAGACTCTGTAGTGCCATGTATTAGACCTTATCTCACGTGTGCATGATAAACCCCCACAGTCAGTCGCTGTATCATATCTAATACAGCACAGACTTTAAAATGTAACGTTTATGAATTTGAAGTGTGTTGCTTGTATAAAATATGGACAATTCAGAGCAATTGAGCAGGTTGAGTGGGAATTTATACACCACCACCTGTAATGGTTTTAGTGTCTACTGCACAAAGATTAATAGGAAGATAGGATATAGGAACAGAGTTAGTCCATCGTATCATCCATCTGTTCATCTCAATGTGGACACATTTTGTCCAAAACTATTCCAGTTAGAGAAAGGACATTTTACACACTGATATTAGTGGTCACGATCTCAAATAAGTTAAAAAAAATAGTGTTGTACATTCATTTTTTATAGAGTTATGACCCTTGCTCCATTACATTATTTGTTTGCAATTATAGTTATTGCCCCTGGTCAGTGCTTTTCAACTTTGTGTATAGTATCTGCAATGGGTACGATTTATCTCAGAAACTACTGAAGTTACTCAAATGAAAATTTGCATGCTTTCAAAACATTTTTTTTCTTTTTCAATGCTTTTGTTGTTTCAACTGAGGTCAAAAATTGGTCCCCTAAATTATTTCTTTACAGAGTTATGGCCCTTGATCCATGTTATTTTACTTGGTGCATAGTATGTGCATTGGGGACACGTTTTCTCAGAAACTAAGGGCAGAACTACCATTGTAGCAGAAAAGCAACTGCCTACACCTCAAAAGCTTGTTTTAAAAATAAGTCAACCTCAATTTACCATCCATGCAATATATTATCAATGCAAACTCTATCCGTTAAACATGCTATTTGTTGTCTTACTTGAAAATCAGAATCTTTACACACTTCAGGATTTCAGTTGTAGATGGTTTATCAAGTTGTGAGAATGATGTCCCTTTGTTGATACGATATACAAGGTCAACAAAGACTGAAAGGTTATTTTAGATCATCATGACATCCCCATGCCGATGTGACAAACTAATAGCCTATTAGTAGTCTACTAGTGACTTTTGTCTGTTTATTATGATACAATAAACATTTGTTGTCTTTTGAGTTCATCCTGCATTGAGATATCAGTATTGATCTAACGAAACCTTTAGGAAACAAACATACTTTGTGACTGAAGCAAACCATGCTCTCACAGTTATTTCCATTATAATGATTGGTCATTTGTCATCTTAGATGTTTCTTGAATGAAGTTGAAAATGTGTTGGTGAAACATATATTACTAATATAACATTATATAAATAAATTACCAATATTTGTTACAAATAAGATCTTACATAAACAGTCTCAAGCTGTTTAAGAACATCTAAAAATTTGTGTGTGTGTGTGCAAAATTGGTTTTGCTAACACTTAATATTAGCCTAGTTGCGCCCCTGGAAACTACTGAAGTGAGCTTATCCCAAAGACACTTATCAAAACTTGAGTATTTTTTCCAGAGAAAAGGCCTTTTGTTTGTATTAATCTCACATTTACTCAAAGCATTAGTGGCTATCTCTTTTTGAGGCTTTACAAGACTATTTTTTATAGTTTATATTCACTACTATATGAACAAACAAAATTCTTATTGGCAAATTGCGCATGCAAGGTTGTTGAATAACTACCTGCCAAAACAATGGACATAACACTCAGTCGGGGTATAACACAAGATGTTTCCCAACAGGACTGATCTGAACTGACTGAGTAGGGAGGCTGTATTATCTGCTTCTGTGTTCAGCCCAGGCGGTGGCGGACAGCATGGTCACTGGCAGCGATGCAGCTCTGGGGCAGGTGTACAGCAGGGTCATGGACGACGACAAGGAGAATGACCCTCAGTCAAGTCATGGCCGAGTCAGTGCGTCGGTGGGTATAGTAGTCCAATGTACACTAAACCCTGTGGGGTATCAAGGTTACAGTAGTCCCATGTGAACATCGTCATATACATGTACATTAAACCCTGTGGGGTATCCAGGTAACAGTAGTCCCATGTGAACATCGTCATGTACACTAAACCCTGTTGGGTATCCAGGTTACAGTAGTCCCGTGTGAACATCGTCATATACATGTACACTAAACCCTGTGGGGTATCCAGGTTACAGTAGTCCCGTGTGAACATCGTCATATACATGTACACTAAACCCTGTGGGGTATCCAGGTTACAGTAGTCCTCAACAGTCTGTTGCTGTAATGTATGATGTATACTTATGTCATAAGAGGTGACTAAATTGGATTGGGTTTAAATGCCTTTCAATGTGCCCTGATGACATTGGGTGCTGCTCATTATATCAGTCACTAGTTGTTGTGGCCTAGACGTCACTTAAGCCACGTCACTTAATGTTGCCTGATCTGGTGTCAGTGTGTCAGCAGTGTAATGATGGTGTGTTTCAGGTGAGAAAGTCCACCCGTATTGCAACATTAGACCAGGAGCAGGCCTCCACCTCCTGGCGCCGGCGCCGCCACACCTACGTCCCCAAACCCTACAACTCGGATGAACTGTGTAAGTGTCAGACGTTGAGTTCAGGGGCCTGCCATCCATGTGACTCCAGCCCTTGTCAGCACTCCTTTACCTCAAGGCTACAGTAGGACAACAGGAGACATGTGAATACAGACATCTTACCACATCATATAAGAGAGCTCTTTGATTTTAAGCTTTGATATCTATCTACCTACAACATTGTTTATTATAGTACAGATTAGTGGGATGAGTGTTGTGTTCTACATGTTGCTGGACGGCTCAGATTTGTAGGATGAGTGTTGTGTTCTACATGTTGCTGGACGGCTCAGATTTGTGGGATAAGTGTTGTGTTCTACATGTTGCTGGACGGCTCAGATTTGTAGGATGAGTGTTGTGTTCTACATGTTGCTGGACGGCTCAGATTTGTGGGATGAGTGTTGTGTTCTACATGTTGCTGGACGCCTCTGATTTGTGAGATGAGTGTTGTGTTCTACATGTTGCTGGAAGGCTCAGATTTGTAGGATGAGTGTTGTGTTCTACATGTTGCTGGACGGCTCAGATTTGTAGGATGAGCGTTGTGTTCTACATGTTGGTGGACGGCTCAGATTTGTGGGATGAGTGTTGTGTTCTACATGTTGCTGGACGGCTCAGATTTGTGGGATGAGTGTTGTGTTCTACATGTTGCTGGACGGCTCAGATTTGTGGGATGAGTGTTGTGTTCTACATGTTGCTGGACGGCTCAGATTTGTGGGATGAGTGTTGTGTTCTACATGTTGCTGGACGGCTCAGATTTGTAGGATGAGTGTTGTGTTCTACATGTTGCTGGACGGCTCAGATTTGTGGGATGAGTGTTGTGTTCTACATGTTGCTGGACGGCTCAGATTTGTAGGATGAGTGTTGTGTTCTACATGTTGCTGGACGGCTCAGATTTGTGGGATGAGCGTTGGGTTCTACATGTTGCTGGTTGGCTCAGATTTGTAGGATGAGTGTTGTGTTCTACATGTTGCTGGACGGCTCAGATTTGTAGGATGAGCGTTGTGTTCTACATGTTGCTGGACGGCTCAGATTTGTAGGATGAGTGTTGTGTTCTACATGTTGCTGGATGGCTCAGATTTGTAGGATGAGTGTTGTGTTCTACATGTTGCTGGATGGCTCAGATTTGTAGGATGAGCGTTGTGTTCTACATGTTGCTGGACGGCTCAGATTTGTGGGATGAGTGTTGTGTTCTACATGTTGCTGGACGGCTCAGATTTGTAGGATGTGTGTTGTGTTCTACATGTTGCTGGATGGCTCAGATTTGTAGAATGAGTGTTGTGTTGGGATGAGTGTTGTGTTCTACATGTTGCTCGACGGCTCAGATTTGTGGGATGAGTGTTGTGTTCTACATGTTGCTGGACGGCTCAGATTTGTAGGATGAGTGTTGTGTTCTACATGTTGCTGGACGGCTCAGATTTGTGGGATGAGTGTTGTGTTCTACATGTTGCTGGACGGTTCAGATTTGTAGGATGAGTGTTGTGTTCTACATGTTGCTGGATGGCTCAGATTTGTAGGATGAGTGTTGTGTTCTACATGTTGCTGGATGGCTCAGATTTGTGGGATGAGTGTTGTGTTCTACATGTTGCTGGACGGCTCAGATTTGTAGGATGAGTGTTGTGTTCTACATGTTGCTGGACGGCTCAGATTTGTAGGATGAGTGTTGTGTTCTACATGTTGCTGGACGGCTCAGATTTGTAGGATGAGTGTTGTGTTCTACATGTTGCTGGATGGCTCAGATTTGTAGGATGAGTGTTGTGTTCTACATGTTGCTGGATGGCTCAGATTTGTAGGATGAGTGTTGTGTTCTACATGTTGCTGGATGGCTCAGATTTGTAGGATGAGTGTTGTGTTCTACATGTTGCTGGATGGCTCAGATTTGTAGGATGAGTGTTGTGTACCTCATATTATTGTTTTATATGGTTTCATCAACCAGTGCTGTGGTTAGAACAGTTTGATTAATGTAGAAATATAAATTGTCCTGTGTATTTGTGTTCAGGGTGTGAGGAGTGCATGACCACGTACCCGACGGAGTGTCCTGTCCACCGACTGTCCATAGTGTTGGACAAGGTGGTGCTGTCTCGGGCATGGTCAAGCCTGCCGCCACAACTACAGATCTACCGCCTCAGTGAAACAGGAGGGGCAGGTAACTCTTTCCTCTTGGAAAATTACTTCCCCTTGAAGATACCATAAAATCATGCTTGTTCCCATAAATAATATATTTCATTCATTATTATTCTTGCTCATGTTAACAGTCTTTAGTTTTTCATTACAGTATTTAATATCATATGTCCCCCAAAGCTTGAAATTCTTAAGACAGTGTATGTACTTTCATTTAGGATGATTGGATTTCAAACAGGTAACAACTGTTTGCTTTTGAATAAAATGTTTCATCCATTACTAATTGAGTATGTATATTTTGTTTTTCTAGAACTAGGAGTGTTTGCCAAAAAGCCAATCCCCAAGTATACCCAGTTTGGTCCTTTTGTGGGAGATCTGGTTGATTCTCAGGAGAAAGTCACTGTGCACAAATTTCCACTGATGGTAAGATGTATTATTAAGTGAATCCTTTACATGTGTGACAGTCCTTAGCAGCCTGCTTCTGCTTGCCTGTAGTTGAAACTATGATCAGATTCCAGGGGCCTGGTAAAGTTCATGTTGACACTTTGTCTCCCCTCTATTCGATACCTGTGAGAATGTGTCCACAGTGTTTCCAGAGAAATGTTGACACTATAGTGTTGTCCAAATGCATGTATACAGTCTATGTATGAGGAGACGAGGAGAAACCCCATGGATATCGAGATGTGTGTCTGGTTGTGTGGACACAGATTCTTGCTGTTGCAGCTGGACCGGAGTGACAGCACACTGGCCTACTTCGAGACCTCTGATGAGAACAAGTGTAACTGGATGATGTTTGTGAGACCCGCAGAGAACTTCATGGAGCAGAACCTGGTGGCATACCAGCACGGCCAGGACATCTTCTTCACGGTCGCCAAACCCATCGACACCCGTCAGGAGCTGAAGGTAGCCATTGATGAGAGAGAACTACACTCGGATGCATGTTGTGATCCATTCGCTTGTTTGTTTTATGGCCATTTCCCTGAATCCTGCTAATAGGAGTGTGGGTAGCCACCTACTTCCTGTTACATCCCCTTCTGGTTACATTGCAACATAATTCGACTCAGAATACCGAAAATCAAATACAGTTTCCACTTTGTGAAGACGAAATAAGTTTGAAAATTAGCATAATCCAAAAAAATCTCATTGCTTCTGGACCAGGGGACATTTTCTCTCACAGATCGTGACTAAAATATAAGTTTGTTATATCAGATAGTTCGTTATAAGTGTGTTTGTTATAAACGTAGTTTACTGTACATGCATTTTGTTTATTCAAAGTTTATTTTCATGTTTTGGTGTAACATAGTGTTATATAATCATATGATAAACAGAAGCATTTGATAACAAATGTGTCTGTATGACTGTTTTGGAGAAGTGGTATTGCCAAGTGGTTAAAGCATCCACTTGTTGAGCCAAAAAAGGCAGTTTTGAGTCCCCACATGGGTACAATGTGTAGAGCCCATTTCTTCTGTTCCCCATTGTGATAGTGCTGGAATATTGCTAAAAGCGCCATAAAACCCCACTGACTCCCCCACTTACTGTTTGTGTTTGTCCATCTAGGTGTGGTACGCAGCCCACTATGCCACCAGGATGGGGCTGAAGACCCATGACATGACACAGGAGGACAGAGATGGTGGGTAGTCTCAGCATGAGAAACATGTATCACTGGACATCACTAGTACACATGATTGATGAATGATAATGAACAAGCACTTTTGATTGAGATTTATGTGCTATTCTTGATGATGATGAAGTGTGAGAGTAAGATGTGAATGTGTTTCAGCACTTGATGAGCAGGAATACCGATTCCCTTGTTACGAGTGTAACAAACGCTTCAAGACATCTGTGGCACTACAGCGCCATCTGCTGGGTCACGAGGAAGGCACTGCAAACCAAGGTGATGATGATGAATTTGATGAAAAGGTTGAAGTCCGCAGCAAGGCCAAGAAGCGGTTGTTCACAAAGGGAAGTCTCTTCAAGGCCCGGGCTAGAGCAGGGAAGAAGGTTAGTGCTTAACATTCAGGATAGTATTCCAGTCTGAAGTTGTGGGTAAGATATGACATTATTTATTCCTGTGTGAGCCTACTGGAATAGGTGCTGTCTGCGAATTACCATCCTTGCATTATTTGTAAAATTCATTGATTGATTCAGTGCCTTCAATCATCAGGGAATGCAAGTATCAGGCTTTTTTATTATCTTTGTGCACTTAGGATGAATTTGAGTGAATCAATTTACGGGATAAGATGTCAAGATCTATGAATTTACAGGATAAGATATCATGATCTGTTGAGTAAATCAATTTACGGGATAAGATGTCATGATCTACTACTGAGAGAATCAATTTTCGGAATAAGATGACATACTTTTCTGAATTGTATTTACATTACACTTGCATCTACTTTACAGGATGGTCTCGGAGAGACATCTGGCTACCAGTGGAAGAAAAAGTCCACCAGTATCTACCTCAACAAGTGAGTAGCACCATCAACCTGTCTCCATATCTAACACGGGAGTCAAGAGGGCCCCAGGGCTTTTCCATCCTTGGTCCTCCTCCCCAGTCTCACTCCCACTCGTATCTGGTGTTCCTAGCATATGATTATAAGTATTTTTATATGGAAGTATAGAATTAGGTTATGAAGATGAAATGCCATTTAACAAAGTGATTATACTCAGAAACTCTGAGTTTCTACACGACCCAGTCCAGACAATTTTTGTTGTTGGGAAGATATATTTCACTTCTGTTATGAAATAAATCATGAAATCTTTTGACCATGCTACATTTTACATCAAGTGATGACTGATACGTCAAGAAACCAGCCCGTCATTGTGTGTCTAATATTCTGACTTATTACATTGACCTCAGAACCCTGAAGAAGTATCAGCGGCGACCTCACACGGAGAAGATCCGGCAGACCATCAAATCTCTCTACAAGAAGAAGGGCAAGGACACTGGTGGGAATGAGTGGGTGTGCATGCACTGTGACCTCACCTTTGACAACTCTAACCTCCTAAATTTGCATACACTGACCCATGCTGCTGAAGATGTCGGTTTGGATGAAATCAAGAAATTTGCATGTGATGTCGGAGAAATGCAGAACGCCAACTCTGATAGTGACATGCGCACTGAGGATGGTGAAATTGTTAGCATGGAGACGTACCTGGCCTGTCCAATGTGTCACCGGCAGTTTGCTAACAAGAGAGATCTCATTGACCATGCCTCTGAACATGGAAAAAGCAAGAAGAAATTGCTAAATCCAAACAGGCCTCACAAGTGTGAAAAATGTTGGAAGGCCTTTGGGTCTCAGGACCGTCTCCAGAAGCACATGTTATGTCACGGTGAGGAGGACAGCAAGCCCTTGCAGTGTGATGTGTGTTACAAGCGCTTCATGAACAACTCCGCACTGGCCTGTCACATGAAGACACACAGTGACAAGAAGTACTACGAGTGTCCCATATGTCGTCTTGGCTTTGACCAGATCACTACCATGAAGAATCATATAGTTCTCCACGCTCAAAGTGGATATTTCACATGCCCTGAGTGTGGGAAGCAGTTTGATGATTATCATATTATTCGCAAACACATGAAGGCGTTCCATTCTGAAAAACGTTACCCCTGCCCTGAGTGTGATAAAGTGTTTCCTCGACAGGACAAGCTGAAGCTTCATATGCTAAGACATTCGACTCATCGTGAGTTCATGTGCGAGAACTGTGGGCGTCAGTTCAAACGGAAAGACAAACTAAAGGAGCATATAAAGCGAATGCATTCTTTAGAGCGGGAGGTGAAAAATGCTCACAAGGGTGACAGGTCTCCATCCAAGAAATTCATTCCAAAAGTGTCTCCAACTGACTATCATAGGTTTATCTACAAATGCCACACCTGTCTCTTAGGGTTCAAACGACGGGGAATGTTGGTGAACCATCTCGCCAAAAGGCATCCCGAGATTAAGCCTGACCAGGTGCCGGAACTCAATCTCCCTATCTTGAAAACCCAGCGAGATTACTATTGTCAGTATTGTGATAAAGTGTACAAATCAAGTTCCAAACGGAAAGCTCACATCATCAAAAACCACCCTGGTGCAGATCTGCCCATCAGCAGCCGGAAGAAATGCCTCATCCCAGAGATCCCTGGACTTCCAAACCCGACCTATTCCCAGACAGTGGGCTCCATCACAACCATGCCCCATTCATGCCAGTTCTGTCATAAGCAATACGCCAGCAAGGCTAAACTTATGCAACATCAAAGGAAGAAGCATCCTGACTTTGTACCACAGTTGCCTGAACGACCAAAGATGAAAGATGAACTTCCTCTGCTGGAACCTGCTCAGCAGCCTGAGCGTTATGAGGAGGTGACCGCAACAGTCCAGGGAGCTCAGCCCGAGACCCTGCAAGCTGCTGACCTGCTGACCCAGGCAATGAGTGAGCTGACCCAGACACTGCAAGAGTACCGTCCGGGGGAGTTCCACATCACATCCCGCCTCCCAACGATGGTGATCACCCCGGCCCAGCACCCCAGCCAGCAGCACACCACCATCGAGCTCAGCCATCTCGGACACGCGCTGGCACACACACAGTTTGCTCAGGTTGCCACTTCAGGGGCAACAGTGATTGCTGCAGCACCACCTCCAGCAGGCCAGCAAGCAATTGTTGCAGGGCATCCTGTGTCAGTGTCGGTTGTAACAACCAACCCAGGACAAACTCAGACTATTCAAGTCCCAGTGTCAACATGGGCGAATTATCAGACTTACCGATAGGGAGGCTGCCCTTGCTGACTTGCTGGAACAAGATTTAGAGCATTGAACAACTCGCATATCTTTTACCAAGAACATTGTTAGCGTAGATCCTCTATTTCAGGCTATGATTTGATATTTTGACAATATTTGGCAACACTTTTCCATCTATGTCTTCTTCTATGGACTTGTGTCAAATGGGATCATCTTTCTAATTACTTGTTAATCAACTCAAGATTATATGGAACTTGTAGTTCTTGTAGTGTGCATGACACACCTTACAGAGGATAGCATAGCCACTGTCTAACCAGATAACAGTCAATCTGTATAAACAGGCTACAGGAGGTCTCCTTACATCACATTGCTGCTGTGTACATACTGGGGACATGTACAGTGACCTGGCCATCTGAAGTGAAGGGGAATGCTCATAAAACACAACTCAAAGTCATCACTACGTATTTTGTCAAATAAAGATCAACACAGTTGCAGAAGCCATCGTTCGGTTTAGGTAAACAGAGTTACCCCCCTTCCCTATCTTGACTAGTTTTTCTTTAATCATTCTGAATACAGCTGTGTGTCATCAGACGAGTAGGATGCAGGGAATTAAAGCATGTTTTCTTAACTTGGTTTTCTAGTAGTGATGTATTATTTATATCCTTTGGGTTGTGAATTTAATGATAACCTTGTGACTCTATTCTTGCAGGGCCTCTGCCCACGTAGTCATATATGTTGCAGCTGTATTTTCAACATAAATTGTATGGTTGTCTTGTAGCTATGCTAACAATTCTTTTAATATAATGTTGCATTATGATATTATGACGAAGTGCAGACAATCGTTTGATTTCATATTGTTGTGTACCTATTTCAAAAGCAAATTGGAAAATGCATCCTGTACAGTGCTTTTTTCTCAAATGTCTGAACACTTTGTCTGCCAACAAATATGTGCTTACATATTTATTACGTATTATCATGATTATGACAATCAGAAAGTGTATGTGGAAGGTTGATCTGTTTTGTTAAAGTTGTTTATTTAATGTGTTTGTTATAACCCTGTCTGAGCAGATATGAACAGTTGAGCAAGCATTCTTCAAGGACGTTCAGTTGGTATCTGATCCAGACAGAGATATTAAGGCATTTTTGTTATCAATCAATGTAGAGATTCAAAATGAATTTTGCTGATGCTATGTAAAAATGTGTGATTACATTCTGCTTGTCACCCTTGATTACCCAGCATATCTCGGGTCCTTTATGACAGGTGTATATCATGGTGGATTGGAGATGTATGATACAGTGGATAATCAAGGATGTTAGCTTGTAGATCTTTAAACTAATTCCACAAGTCAAGGCCTGGCAAAATCATACCAGTTATATTCATAATAGACAATGTGGTATTTCATTTTTGGTAACATTTCTTTGGTTGAATGACATGTTTTACCAAGTTGACAGTTCTTTGTTTGCAAGATATGCTTGCTTGAGAGTTACGTGGTACTGATGTTACTCTTCAGTGTAATAAAACCTTACATCTGATGCAGGCAGTGTTGTGAGTTGCATCAACATCCATGTGACACTCATGGCCCCGGGACAGGGACAGCAGGTGAGCTGACACAATCTCACTTCCAGAACTACTACCAGCCTCCCGTTCTATCAGTTTGACACACTGTGATACATTATGTGTAGTGTCTGTGCAGTTGTACTGTGCATCAGTTGTTACAGTCGCTGGTCACAGCTAGGCTTGTGTACTGCAGGCTTGGACCACACATCTTACAGCCAGGGATAAGACGTGTAGCTTTGTAGCAGTAACTTTCCATGGGTAGTTACAGTCAGGCAAGTGTGGAACATGTACAGTACAGCAGTAACAATCAGGTCACATGGATGCCTAAGTTATTTTCAATAGTGGTGAACCCATGAACCCTGCCACTGATCAATATCATCAAATCAACATAAGTCATGTCACCCCACAGTGTGTAGGTGAGGTGAAATGGTGTTTAATCACCTTCAAGATTATTTCAATTATAAAGCGACACCAATGCACGCGAGCGTGTGTGCTGCTTGTACTAGGCCAGACTAATGTCGATTTTGGGTAAAAATCTCAAAACCAACAAATTTTCTGATTATCAACTTGCCAAAATAAAAGTTACCATAATATGATTTTTCTCTTGATATTGGAGAATATGATACTTAACCAGGAAAATATTTGCTTATAAACAAACAAATATTAACTTGAAAGTACATTTTTTAGCATTTTACATTTTTAAGAAATTGAATCTACTGGTGAATAGTCTTGAAATGGAAATCAAATGTTTTAAAATACATTTCTGCAAACAAACTACTGATGTACAGGTCAAGTGGGAAATTGTTACAGTGTTGAGATTTTTACCCTTTTATAGATCTATCCCATTGAAACAGTTGCTGCAAATTAACATACATCCGAGCTGACTGGCCCTTTTTCATTTCCTTGATGCCGAGCGGAAGACATGAAAGGCGACTATGCTTGTCGTAAGAGGAGACTAAGCGGATCGGATGGTCAGGCTCGCTGACTTGGTTGATGCATGTCATCGTATCCCAATTGCATGGATCGATGCTCATGATACCAATCACTGGATTGTCCGGCCCAGACTTGATTATTAGCTGGAATATTGCGGAGGCGTAAAACAACAAACAAACAAACGAAACCCCTATAATTTATGAAACAGGAACACATCTCACAACATGGTCATCATCACAGCAACTGGAAGGAGCAAGCTCGCCAAAGTAGTAACTGCCTCTGAAATATAAGAGATGGACATTTGATAATATACAGTATCACTTCAAGACGAGGGACTCGTTTCGTACAATTTAAGTTCCATGTATAAGTTCCCTAGAATCAGTACAGTTTAGTTTCATGGCACTGACAGCACAGCAAGATGCCACAGTCTGTGCTTCAGCACGTGAAGTTCCAGGTCGTTCTGTGTTTGACATTCATGAAGGTTTTTTATTTGACCTTTAACTGCAAGTGACCATGCTTATGGGACAGGAATATTACAAGTATACATAGTTCAACCTGCTGATATCATATGTTTTAGTCTGTTTCCAGTCGTACAAATGGGTATCTCATACCTCTAGTCGTACGTTAAAAGGAAGCCAGAAGCTGGAATGTAAACAATAAACTTGTTTCCGTCCGGTTGCGCATGCACGCACCTCCCTATGACATATGTCACAAATCTCTCAGCGCGCCTCTGAGCTGGTCGCTCGAGAAGGACTTTCGCGATAGACTGCTAGTTTGTATTCTCCTAGTACTTATCGTGTGTCTACAGTTGTTATTACATTAAGTAATACGTTACCACTGTTATACCGAGGCTGTTGTCTCCCACAACTGCTGCTATAGCGAAATCTACCACAGAGATCTCAATTACCTCATGCAGCACGTGCGTAGCCACCTAGCTGCCATGTGACACCCTTCACTCTTGTCTCCTTCGTCTGCTTAGCAAGACGTGTTTTCTCCTGCTGAAGCGTTCCTTGAAGATTTGGTGATATTTATTATAGTTTATTCTCTAATAAACTGTGCTTTTATGGGGCGTTGCGGTAGCTACGCTTGGTTATAATTTTCCCGCCAAACGGAAAATTTTTCCCGCCCTTTTTTCTATATACTTGCGGGGTTCGCGTATGCACGTTGTGTTATACGTTTCCCCTGTTCTTGTATGTTTTGGGGGTTAACATAACTTATTTCTTTAATAAAAGTTATATGTGTATGTTATATGTTCACATTGCTCGTTTATTTTCTTGTGAAAATGTTCGTTTGTGAATCATTGTGGTGCGTGCGTTGTAACCATGTTTTGTTCTTTGTTTATAGCAAACAATCAATGTCTGACATGGATATGTCCCCAGTATCCACCCCCTCTGCCCCTGCTCCTCGGAGTTATGGGGTGTGCAGAAAGTTTTTGTCGTCCCGGGATCCCCACGATCGTTGCCCGCGGTGCAGGGTTCCTTGCGGGGACACCCGGTGCATCCTGTGCGAAGGTCTGGGGCCTGCGGATTTTGAGCGGTACCGGCTGTACGTACAGTCCGTCTCCACCCCTGTGGTGGCCGGTTCGTCCGGTCGGGGTCCCCGTGCGGGTACCACCTCCTCGGCTGCGGCGGATCCCCTTGCGGCCCTCGGGCTGTCTGGGGATTCCGTCGCCGCATTGTTGTCGAAACTTGTGGATTCCAAGCTGGCGGCCTTATCGCAAGATAGGCCGCTGGCTGTTCCGTCCCCGGCCTCTTCGGTGGCCGCGGGGTCGGACGCGGGGTCCACCGGTAAAGCGGCGGATCTCTTGGCGGCCCGTGTGCTGTCCGGGGATTCCGTCGCTGCATTACTTGCATAACTTGTGGACTCCAAGCTGGCGGCCTTATCTCAGGATAGGCCGCTGGCTGTTCCGTCCCCGGCCACTTCGGTGGCCGCGGGGTCGGACGCGGGGTCCACCGGTACGGCGGCGGCTCCCGTGGTCACCGGTCCTTCCCCCGAACCGTTGCTCCCGCTATCGGTTTAGGACCGCGTGGCCATGGTTTATGACCTCTTTGGGGACATGCCCCGGCCGGTACCGCGGGGAATCCACGACTGTGGGTTCCTCCGAGGTATACGATGAGTCTTCCGACACGGCTTTCCCCGCATCAACCTTGCTGCGCGGTTTCAAGCCTTCCTTGGAGAACGCCTTCGCGGCGGCCTCCGGTCGGGGTCTCCCGTTGCCTCCGACGTCGTGGAGAAAGGGTTTATTCCCGGTACATGACCTTGCCTTTCCCGAGGCTGGTCCTACCGCGGAGGCCCATGTTGAGCGGTTGGGTGTCCGTGCCCCACCGGCTGCTACGGTAACGCAAGCTACCTTGCACCAGCTGGACGCCCTCGCTCGGCACTCCATGTCTCACGGAGACACTTACTTGGCTGCAGCGGCCCGTCTGGTCGAAGGTTCTCCCACGGACCGTGACCAGCGCATTTACAACTGCCTGCTCAGTTTAAATGCTTCCCTGGAGTACGTTGCCAAGGACTCTCGGCACACACTTGCTCTTGTTGGGTCCCTGCATAGGCGCCTGGGTGCCGCTCCTAACCGGAGCGCGCCCCAGGCTGCTGCGGCCGGTAGGTCTAAGGGGTCGGGTTCTTCTTCCTCTGGGAAGTAGCCCCGCCCTGAGGGCTCCGGTATGGGCAATCAGCTGCCCTTTCGCGGGAAGACGGGGAACTGGGGGAAGCCCAAGTCGTCGACGGACGGCAAGGGCCCCTCCAGGTGACTCTCATTGGAGGGGTTCGTATGCCGACAGCGCCAACTTCGGTTGGCCCTTAGGCGAACCCGAGTCACTTGGCCCTGGACAGTTGCGCCTGTCGCAACCTGTCAGGGCCCCCTCTCCTTCCCCAGTGGGAGCCAGACTCCAGACTTACTGGGAGAATTGGGAACAAGTGTTCGACGACCCGTGGGTGGTCAACACGATTCGGTACGGCTATCGGCTTGATCTCAAAGCGAATCCGCCGCTCACCGTTGCCCCGTTGGCAGGTTTCGATTCGGAAACCGATCTTCCCATCCTCGCCGATGCCATCGGCAGGTTGGTGGAGAAGGGGCAGTACGGGAGTTAGCTCTACCAGAAATAACACCGGGGTTTTACTCCAGGATATTTCTCGTTCCCAAGTAGGACAGTGCCGAACTCAGAATGATTCACACGTCCGCTCCCTGGCTGTTCACCCGGTTAACCACCCCCATAGTGGGGTTCCTCCACAGGAGGGGTGTCCGGTACTTCGCGTACCTGGACGACTCGCTAGTAGCAAATCGAATGACGGACACCCTGTCACGCCATCTCGATTTCGCACGTCGGCTCTTGGAGCAATTTGGGTGGATTATCAATCTCCCCAAGAGCGAGTTAACCCCTTCTCAGAACTTGCTGTTCATCGGAGGTCGGTTCAACACGGTGTCCCATCGCCTCTTTGTCCCCCCAGACCGGTGGCACAAAATTCAGGCGATGATTGCCAAAGTCTTAGCGGTGCAACAGACTGTTCACTTTTGGGAACAGCTGTTAGGGCTACTTGTATCAGCCCAGGACTGCACCGCACGGGGTCGTCTCCAACTCCGCCCGCTGCAACGGTTTTTAATCCAGTTGTTAGCAACGGAGGTGAACAGTGCGACCGTCGCCCTCCCGGATCGGCTCCGACCGCATCTGGAGTGGTGGACGGTCCCTTACATTGTCTTATCAGGAGTCTCTATGCGGCCCTACCGGGCCACGTTGACCCTGTATACAGACGCCTCTCTAGTGGGCTGGGGCGCCCATCTAAAGGGGGAGGTGAGCTCGGGGCTGTGGTGCTTAGACGAACTAGGTCTTCACATCACTTGTCTCGAGTTCAAGGCAGTGATCAACGCAGTCAATCACTGGAAGCATCGTCTCGTCGACGCCCGGCTCATGCTGGCGACCGACAACACGACGGTAGTGTCCTATGTGAACAAACTGGGGGGAACCCACAGTCACTCGCTACTCGATCTCACGTTCGAGTTTTACGCTCTGGTGGACAGTGTCCCGTGCCAGATACGCGCCCGTCACATCCCAGGTGTGCGGAACGTACTGGCCGATGCTCTATCGAGGCCTCAGGATCCGAGCCCCACAGAGTGGATGCTGAACCCAGTAGTGTTTCAGTGGCTGTGCGAACGTTTGGGTCGTCCGATGGTCGACCTGTTCGCAACGCGGTTCAACAATCAACTCCCGTTGTTTGTATCACCAGTCCCGGTCCCGAGGGCCATCGATCACGATGCTCTCGCGTTAGACTGGACGGGCTTGGTCGCTTATGCTTACCCGCCGACAGCGTTGATACCACACATTCTAAGCCGGCTCCGAGGAGTTCGCTGTCGAATGTTACTGATCGCGCCCATGTGGCCGAACAGATCGTGGTACCCCGACTTGCTGACCCAGGTCACGCAGTCGCCACTTCCACTGCCTGTGAGACCGGATCTCTTGATCCACCCTCACACCCGTCAGCTTCATCCAAACGCAGGGCAGTTCAATCTGCACGCGTGGATGTTGTCACCGAGCGTCTGAGGAGTAAAGTTTTTTCTCGCCGGGCGTCTCGGGCATACGTTTGTATGCATCGTGATTCTACCCAGAAGGTGTATAATGCACGTTGGGTTATTTTCACGAAGTGGTGTTGTAAACATCACATTCATTCGCCAGATAAGGTATCTGTGCAGGATATTGCTCGTTTCATGTCTCACTTGCGAGAGACCCGGAAACTCTCCGGGGGTTCCATTGCCAACTATGTCTCGTCCGTTGCTACGGTACGGGACGTTGCTATGGGTACCAGTCTCTCCAAAGAGCCGGTGATACGGGGTATTATCAAGGGTTTCAAACAGCACGATCTTAAGAAGGGCCGCCTTCGGGCACCGGCCTGGGATCTTTCCCTAGTGTTGCAATCACTTACGGAAGCTCCGTATGAACCCTTGCATAGTGCTTCGTTCCGGCATGTGACTTGGAAAACAGCATTTCTCCTCTCCTTTGCCACGGCGGCACGTGTATCCGAAATTCAGGCACTCGATGTCGCCAAGGTACGATTCGATAGGGGTGATGAAGGAGCGGTCCGCCTGGGCCTGCTCATGGGCTTCGTCGCCAAGAATCAGAGAGTCGGGCAAACGGAGAGAGAATTCACTGTAAGATCACTCAAAGAAATCTTACATCCTGCTGATACTGAGGACAGAGCGCTGTGTCCGGTTAGGGCCCTTAAGTAAGAGATTATCTTAAGGCTTCGAATGAACGTAGACAAGGGCGTGACCGTCTGTTCATATCGTG